CAATTTCTGGAAAACTGACGGTGGTTATGAAAATCCCACGTAACCATAAGGATTAGCCACCATAATCATTCCTGTAGCAAGTGCTAAATAGTTATTGCCTGTTTTCATAGCATTATGTGCGGTTCTGGTTCCTTTAAATAAGCAAGGGAAAATAAAAAAAGACGCCATTAGAATCATAACTGGCAAGGGAACTGATAAACTGTGAAAAAGAAAACCTATTACAATAATGTTCCTTTAAGTATTCGTTTTAAAACAATTAGCTACTTAACAGAAAAAAAAGGGGGGATGGGAAAATTTAGTTCACAGTATGGAATATGCAAAAATGAATTAAGACTGATATGATGCTGTCCCAGGCCTCAGAGTACTTAAAAATTTAGTACACAAGAGTGTCAGGGACAAATAATACATTCCAATTATAATATTTAATTATAATTAAAAATGAAGAAAAAACATTCAAAATTATGACTATGGGGGAAAAAAAGAAGTAAGTTGTTACTTTTGATCAACTGGCAGTTTTAGCAGTAATAAAACGTCTTCCTACAATTCCATCAATTGTAATTATTTCTATGTTCAATTTATGGAAAGTAAGTCTAATTTCAAAGGAATGGTTCTCTCGAGTGCAAATGAGATTATTCTGAAAGCTTATATTTAAAAAAAAGCAAAAAGTAAAAACCACAGAACACTTTGTAATATAACCATTTTTAGTCTAGGTTATATATCTTGACACATTATATCTTGACAACCAAAATATGCAGTAGCTAAGACATAGAGTAAGTCAAATAAACCCATTTCTGCTAAATTACTTGAAAATATTTTACAACCAGCATTATAGGGAACACAAACAGATTTCTTGTACAAATAATGCAATATAGTTTCTATAGATATGCCAGCAAAGGGGCTGGGGATGTGGTTGCCTGATATGTGTGAAGTCCGGGGTTCAACCTAGCACCACAAAAAATAAAATATAATACACACACACACACACACACACAAGATATACACACATAATATACATCTAAGCAAAGCATGAAATTCATTTTTAAAGGCCTGCAAAATTTAAGAAAATAAACTACCTTTATATTAATAATTTCATCATTCTTTTAACAACATAAGAGATGCGTCATTGTTTGAGAAAGTTCACATCCCTTAAACAGTACAAGTATCTCTACATATTGAAGATATATGGTACCATATTATTATTACAGAATAACTTACCACATATGACAATAAATAACCATTTAGATATAAATGATAATGAGATTATGAAAGATTCCAAATTCTCCTGAGTATGACTAGATCCTTCTTATCCTTTAGGCTCAGCTTCAATGTCCCCTTCTCAAAGAGGCCATCCATGATTATCTCATCCAAATTAACCCTTCCTCAGTCACTATCACATTACCCAGCTGTTTCCCAATTTCTATAGCACTTACCACTATCTGCTATTGTCTTGTTTATTTCCTTGGTTTTTGTCTCTCTTCCTCCACCAAAATATAAGCTCCATAAGCAGAAGTACCTTCTCAGTCTTGCTCAATGAATCCCCATTATACAGAACAGTGTCAGCATACAGAAGGCACTTAATGAAAGTAGTGAATAAATGAATTAGGTCAATTGGTTCAAGTGATAATGTAAATCAGGAGAAAAAAGAAGAGGGTGGACAACATAGCAAAAAACTATCAAGGAAGAATGAAATTTAGAGCACAGTCCTTGCGTGGATGACGGTATTCCCAGGGAAACTTCTACCTCTAAACTGCAAAGGTAACCATTTACAAAGTGAACCGTCCACATCCCATGATTAAGCAAGAGGGTACTATGTTTCTCACACCACAATTACCACTGCTAGCAAGGTTTCCAGGAAGCCCTGACTTAGGAGGCCATCCCAGTCACAAATCTACTGCCCCATACTTTACCATCAGGCCTTATTGGTCCACTTCCATTAATGCCAGCTCCAGCAGGTTCGGGCAAGTCTTCTCCGTCTATACCAGAGTGCGACTGTCCCTGTCCAAATGAGCCCCTTTGCAAACCCCATAGACTCATGGACCTGTCTGCCCCTTTACCAGTGCTCTGCCAGAAATGTCACTGAGGGGCATGGTAAAAGTTAACACCAAACTGATCCTAGCTGGTTGTTTCCCCAAAGACACTTTTTGGACAGGGAAGATCTCTTACTTGGACACATCCTAGCTGTAAATTCAGTGTAAGCCGGTCCCCATTCTTGCCCTTTAGTTTCCTTATTGGTAAAATAGGGAACACCAGGGTATCTGTCTCAAAGGGATCTTGTAAAAATGCAGCGAGCTAATAATAATGCATGTACGCCCATTAGCATACTTGGGAAATGCAGGAAGCAACAATCAACGGGAGCTGCTTTGCTTACTGGACAGGATAATGCTGCTGCTGCTGCTTTTTATCACTTGCCTCTGAACCCTTGGAGGACTCGAACTGGGCTTTCGAATGTAACTTAAAAACGGGGGAGGGGAGGGGACTACGGCTTCTTCTCTCAACAGCAGTTTCCTGACCCCTCCCCATCGAATCCCTCTCTAGACGGGTGCCCTCGGCTGGAACTGGGGTTAGGGGAGAGGGATTCCAACGCGACAGGAGAAGCGCGGCGTGGGAATCCCCAAGCACCATCAGGGGCTATCAAGAGAATTCTCTGTAAACTATTTGTTATCCTCCTTAAGCTCACGCCCCAGAGTCGCAAAGACGGAGTGAACAGCGCTCCCAGGGCCTTTGGGGGTTGTAGTAACTGGCGACCAGAAATGGCCAATGCACAGCGCTGGGGACGCCTCGTTCTCCCGCTTGGCGGGGGAGATGGAGCAAAATGGCCCAAGCGTTTTGCGACCTGGAGGGGGTTCCGGCTTCGGCACAAGTTGGCTCGCCGGGCACCCTCTGCCCTCCGCGGCCCCTCCCAGGGTAGGGCTCCATGCCAGGCGCTGCCAGCATCCGAGCATCACCTCCGCGCTCGGTGCCGCCGGCCCCCGGGCACCCGCTCCTCACACCCGGCGCCTTCCCCGGGCTCGAAGCCCGGGCACCCGGCACAGAGCCCGCCCTCGGCATCACAGGGCGCCAATTCCGCCGCGCCAGGTCGCCTCCGCGCCTGGACCGCCGAGGTCGGGGCCCTTCTTCGTGCACACACCTGATTCCCCGACGGCGCAGTCGGCTTTTCTCCCCTCGCCACGGGCCTTGTCAGGAAACAGCAGGCTCAATTGGTTCTGACAGAGCGCAGCTCGTTGCGCCGCCGCCTTCTCCTTCTCCTCCCCGCCATATTACGGGTCTCTCAAGCGGCAACGCGGGCTCCTGGCAACCGCCGCCGCCGCCGCCACTAGGACTCCACCCCTCAAGGCCGGTACTTCCGGTGATTACTTCCCGGGCGGTTGCAACGGTTGGACCCTCCAAAACTACAACCCCCAAGGTGCATTGCGCGTCCGTGACAGGGGACGTGTTGCTGACGACGAGAGAGATGCACGCTGGGAAACGTAGTTTTCGTTGCAAGCTAGCGCATATTAAAACTCGTTAGGGGGCTGGGGATGTGGCTCAAGCGGTAGCGCGCTCGCCTGGCATGCGTGCGGCCCGGGTTCGATCCTCAGCACCACATACAGACAAAGATGTTGTGTCCGCCAAATACTAAAAAAAAATAAATACTAAAAAGTACTCTCTCTCTCTCTCTCTCTCTCTCCCTCCCTTTCTCTCACTCTCTCTTTAAAAAAAAAAAAAAAAAAAAAAAAAAAAAAAAAAAAAAAAAAAAACTCGTTAGGATAGGAACGCTTCTCCGGGTTTCAAGACCCCCAGCATGTTCCTTAGCTGCCATTTTTTATTCATCTGTGTAGAGATGATCTCTTCCCGTGTGGTCGTTGGGAAACAACATTCACCAAACTGTGAATGTTTTCTCTGTAAATAAAAAATTTGCTGAATCCTAGATGCCAGCTCCAAGCCTTAATACATCTGTGCCTCTTTTGCAAATCAGTGGGAAAATTCGTCCAGGAGGAAAGGTAACAGGTTCAAAGTGGCAGCAAAAGCCCCGAATCTTTTCCAAACTTAATCATGTTACCAACTTTCCAAAGGATGATTTAGTGGTCCTATTTCCATTCTCTAATTTGGCTCTCTTAATTGATTCTCCTTCGGGTACCTATTTTTGCGTAGGTAAAAATGCGGATTTTAAAAGTGCCTATAACAAGTGTGATTGTGAGGCACAAATGAGATCACTCTGGCGTCAGGGCCCCGTACGTCAGCTTTCCATAGGGGAGAGAGGAATAAGATTAGGAGCTGGAGGAAGAGTGGAAAAGTCACCAGTCACTGGAAGACTTGATAACACCCCTGAGCTGACCTGCCCATTAACCGCTAACTTCCCTTTACCTCTCCTCGGTGTCCTCAACCGTAAAACAATATTGAAACCCCTTCCAGGTATTGATCGGATGGTGCCTCCTTTGGCTCTTCCATTCCTTACTGCTCCGGAAGACCCTCCTGGAGGCGACCGAAACGAGTCAACTGAGATAACAATACCTACTTACTGAGGGCGTGGCCAGAGCTCTGAGATACGCCGTGTTTGCTAGCGCGGTACCTGGAACGCGGTAAGTGTTCTGCAAATGTTGGCTGTACTTGGTGACACCTTTACCTCTCGCCACCCGCCCCCACCTCAACCCCGGCGGGTGCCCATCCAGTCAGAGCTCCCTGTCAGTCCAGTTCACAGCACGTGGACCGCTGTTTGACAGATTTCGAATTCAAAATACGCTCAGCGTCCCGCCCCTTCGCGGTTCCCAGAACTTCACTTTCCTGGAGGGCAGACTCCGATCTTTGGCCTTCTTCCCCCCTCCCCCGCCCCTCCCCGCCTCAGGTGTCTGAGGGCGGGGGTGGGGGCCGAAGTCCCGACCCGGGAGAGCCCAAGGCGCCTTGGAACCCGAGCCTGGGGCCTGGGCCCGCCCCGTTGCCATGGCAGCGGCTCCGCCCCCTAGCGCTGGAGATCCCGGCCGCTGATTGGCTGGGCCGCGGGCTCCCTCCCTGGAGGTGTCTTCCGCCGCCATTGTGCGGCGCTGGTCCGGTCGGAGGGTGCTCGCTGCGGCCAGTGCCTTGGCCTCTCCGGGTCGCTTCTCGCCGTCGGGTTCCAGGAGCCCGGCGGGTCCGGGCTTCCCGTCCGTGCCGGTGCGGGCGCCGGCATGTGGCTGTGGGAGGACCAGGGGGGCCTCCTGGGCCCCTTCTCCTTCCTGCTGCTGCTGGTGACGCGCAGCCCCTTCAATGCCTGCCTCCTCACCGGCAGCCTCTTCGTCCTGCTGCGCTTCTTCAGCTTTGAGCAGGTGCCGTCCGACAGGGCCCTGCAGGTGCTCAAGCCCCGGGACCGCATCTCCGCCATCGCCCACCGCGGCGGCAGCCACGACGCGCCCGAGAACACGCTGGCGGCCATTCGGCAGGTGAGCCCCCCACGCCTCGCGCCCCTCGGCCCTCCTGGAGCCCGGCCTGTCCACGTCCTTGCGAGCTCCCCGGGGTCCTCTCCCGGTCGCCCACCCCGGGTGCATTGCAGCGCCCCTGGACCACCCCCCCCCCACGCCGGGCAGCCTCGGGCCCCGGGTCTTCACAGAACCCCGCAGTTATTTACCTGGCCCCTGCGCGCCCTGCGGAAAGGGTCCCCGCTTTCCCTGGGCTTCTATCAGCTTAGGGGAAAAGACTCACACAGGAGATACTTTAAGAGAGTGAAAAAGTGCAATTAAGTAGCAGTGTGCTGAGATTAGAGAATGACTGGGAGGGAGTATTAGAGAAATCCTCTCAAAAAGAAGTGAGAGTTGAACTGAATCCAGAACCAGGAGAAAGAGTCAGCCAAGGAGGGTGGAAATAATGTGCTCCAAGAAAAGGAAATCGCAAGGTAAAAGGTCCTGAGATGAGAATGACATTGGAATGTTAAAGTGACAGAGGCGCCAGTATGTGGTCTGACTTAAAGGAACAACAAAATCCGGTGCGTGAATTGAAGGAGGAAATGGACCAGGTCTAATAGGATCTTGATCAGTAAATGAGGCTAATCTAAGTGGATCACTCTTCTCAAGAGATGTCTTTGCTTGGCCTCTAAATTAACCTGGGTCGTCTTCCTTGTCACCTTTCTCTCCAGACACACATATTTACAGTGACACCAACTTGGCACCTGGACTCCCGGACTCCGGGTCAATTTTTGCTTCCCTTTAACACAAGGCACTCCTGAGAATCATGGTAGCTCCCAGATCTTGGCAATCTCCTAACTTCATAATAAGAGGGATTTTTTCAGTGGATTAAGCACTTTTGCATCTGTGTAAATGCAGTCTGTACTCATATTTGTGGGTTTTGAATCCCTGGATTCAAAAACAATTTTTTTTTATTGCATCTGTAGTGAACATTAGATTATAACCATTTACATAGCTTTTAGGTTGCATCACGTATTATAAGCAATTTAGAGATGATTTAAAGTATTTGGGAGAACATCTGTAAGACATATGCAGATATATCTATGGGCAGTCCTAGAATGAATTCCCCCCATACCAAGGGACAAGTGTATGTCTGATCTTCTTGTTTCTTTGAGATATTATTTTAACATTGAAGAGGTGGGAAAACTGTCTCAAACACACAGCTCCTTCTAGAATTCAGCCTTCTGATTCCAAGTCCCAGTGTTCTCTGTCGTAGATTGGAATGTGCTCCAGTATATAAAGCATGGACTTTCTGACAGGCTTTCTTCATTCAGCTAGAGTCAGAAACTGTTGTGTAATGAGAGGTTACTTGTTAAGGTCTGTAAACAAGTCAAAATAACACCTGGTATTTTGCCAGGGGAATGTTAGAGTTCGTAAACAAGTCTGGATGTTACTTATCACCCACGGGTGGTGATAAGTAACAAGCAGGCACCCTGGGGCAGACCTCAGTTTCTCCATCTGTTAAATGGGAGTAATAATGGAGTCTACCAAGTAGGATCTGAGGATTCAGTGAGCTAATCCACATATGGTAAGGCCTAGTAAGACTTCCACTAATGTAAGGTATTGATGCCTAGAATCCAAGATGACTTGATTCTTTAAAACGGAGCAAAGGGGCAACCTCTGCGTTAGTAGAGGGCATCTGAGTTTTTGTGTATAATCAAGTTAAACTTCTCTTATGTGTCTCTCCCCTGGCTTCTTTCTTTCTGCTGGGAGACAGTGAGGGCAGCTTTTCCAGCCTCTTTTTAAAAGTAAATGTAAAGATATTGATGAATGTACATAAACTCAAAAAGGTCAGTGAAGGAATATTGGAGGGGGTATATTGTTGTGAAAAGAAAAATGACAAATTACTATGGAAGAAAAAAACACATAATTTTCATTGGCTTCCATTTCACCTTAACTTTCCGTAAGTTATATTAAAGGCTATCTCAGTTTTAACTGAGTACAGAGGCATTCATAAGTGTTTACTGGTGGATGTGGGGGTGTGGTCAAGAATGTGTTTGCCTGTATGTCAGTCATATTAAATGAACAAGGAAGCGTGTTTGTGAAATACACAAACACAAGGTTCCATATCCTGTTGTGTTGCAAGAGAATCACAGCTGAATTCTATTCATGTCTTATATGTCTATGTTGAGCACATCTTTATGTAATATTATAATGACAATGAACATTTTGCCAAATTGATTGCTGGTCTTAAAAGGAAATGAGATGTGGTAATTCAGCTTACTAGAGTATAAGGTCATTATCAAAGAACTTTTTAGTCTTAACAATATTTAACTGCAAATGAAGACTATAAAAGATGAAACTGTGTCCTCCGTATTGACTTAAAAAGAAATATACAGCTTATGTCCCTTGAAGTTTGCTTTTTGTTCTTCTGTTCTTCATCTCTTTGTATATTTGCAGCTCATTTATATTCTGAAATATTTTACTATATGAAAAATCAGACATTCTGACAGTGCTAGAATTTAATAGGTCATAAACTAGATATAGAAAGGAAACTTTATAAATGTGAAATGAATATATTCCAAATAACATACACTATTTAAAATCAGTGGCAGAGGAGTGAGATTATACCCACAGTCCATTCTCCACATGGGGGCCAAAATGCAACTTTAAAAGTATAAATCAGATTATAACCTATCTTTATTAAAAATCATCCAGTGGTTTCCTCTTGCAATTAGATAAAGTCCTGTGTGTGTGTGTGTGTGTGTGTGTGTGTGTGTGTGTGATGGCTGGGGATAGAACCCAGGGCCTTATACATAGAAGGCAAGTGTCCTAACATTGTGCTACACTCTCAGCCCCAAACTTCCTAACAGTAAGGGGACTTACTGTCTCATATAACAAGAGATGTGTGTGGAAGGGATGGCCTTCGGGGGGTTAATATAGCTAACACAGCTATTCGGTTTGTGATCATGGAACATCTGGTTCTGCAGCATATTTTCTAGCTCTCATTCTAGTTACCAGAAGGCCAGTGAGGCCCGAGCATCATTCTTTCATACCAGCATCCGATCTTCATAGGGAGGCTGAGGCAGGAGAATCTCAAGTTCAAAGCCAGCCTTAGCAATGTAGCAAGGCCCTAAGCAACTCAGTGAGACCCTGTCTCTAAATAAAATATAAAAAAAAAAAAGGGTTGAGGATGGGGCTCAGTGTTTAAGTGCCTGTAGGTTCAATCTTCAGTACCAAAAAAAAAAAAAAAAGCCTACATATTATAGAATTCAATTAAATAAAGTGTCCCTATTGTCACATCTATGGAGACAGGGGGAAAATCAGTTGCTCAGTGGTGGACAATAGGAGACATTCAGACTAACTGCTCATGGGTTTGGAGTTTCTTTTTGAAAGCATTGAAAATGTTTAAAAATTATCATGGTAAATAATGGTTGTACAACTCTGCAAATATACTAAAAAATTGATTTGTGCACTTTAAATGGGTGAATTATAAGGTATGTAAAAAAATTTTCAAAGTTAAGAAATAAAGGCTGGCAACTCTGAACTTGATCAGGTTGGGAAATCTGTGGAAAAAAAACTGTTCCACTTTTTATTTCTGGTAGTAGAATCTAGGATTTCCTCCACTGTCAAAAGCACTGAGTAAATTATTTCTGTGTATTAAGTTAGAGGGATGAATATTTAAAAGGTACTTTGTAATGAAACAGTGAAAATTTTAATAGCCATTTGAATGTAATGAACATGCTTTTCAATCAGCTTTATTGAAGTGTAATTTATATACAATAAAAGTAGTATATTGGTAGATTTTGATAAGTATCTACACCCTAGTAATCAATCATCCCTCTAATACATTTTCCAAAATACTCCTTTGTGCCCCCTGTGAAGTCAATGCCCTCCCCTGCCTCTGCCTCAAAGCAGCCACTATTATTAGTGTATTATAATTAAACTATACAGTTTAAAACTAGTTTGTGTGAAATTTGTATGGCTAAAAGAAAAAAAATGATAATGTAAATTTCTATAGATAAATAAAAAGGTGAGAATGAAGTATTATTATTTTTTTTAAAGGTTTGAGAGAGGGACAGAGAGAGAGAGAGAGAGAATTTTAATATTTAATTTTTAGTTTTTGGCCGACACAACATCTTTGTTTGTATGTGGTGCTGAGGATCGAACCCGGGCCCTGAGGGTCGAACCTGGGCCGCACGCATGCCAGGCGAGCGCGCTACCGCTTGAGCCACATCCCCAGCCCATGAAGGATTATTAATATGTGACTTAGAGCCAAGTGTTCATCATTTTATCTGTTTAACTGGAATAACAAAAGTATTGGTTAAAAAAAAAAGTTAAATGTAGTCACTAGAAAGTTCTGGTCTCAGAAACTCTAATGTGATATTTCTTTTATTGAGCTTTTGTTTTGGTTTTTAATAAACTCAGAAAAGACATGTATGTGAAAATCTAATTTTGAAGCTTAGAAGAATCTATAACGTGGGGATAGAAAAAAATTTAAATAAGGTAGAAAAATCTGTAAAGAACATGTTTGATAAATTTGTCCAAATTTCTTTTAAAACCTTGTTTAAGAGGTCACAGTAAATAGCAGTAGCTACTCATGGAAGGTTTACTGTGTATTCCCTCAGTGCTGCCTGGTATTTATGGGCTCTTAAGTATCTAGTAAATACACAAAGATACTTTGTATAAAATATACAAAGGGAGTGATTAAGAATGATACATACCAACTTAAGATAATTGTTACTACTGGAAAGGAAGGGAGGAGAGTGGAGAGGAGAAATTTAGCTCTTATCTGTGATATTGGTGGAAAGGCCTACTGGGCCAGAGTGCGGCCTCAGCCACATTCCAGCTGGTTACCTGTGCCGATTTCTGAATCTTTCTTTGTCTCAGTTTCCTCATCTGTGAAATGCTGGGTTTTGAGGATCAAATGAGCTAATACATTTAAAGCACTTAGAATAGTACCTGGCTCAATAAAGGCTGGAGGTGTGGCTCAGGGGTAGAACACTGGCCCAGCACATGTGAGGCCCTGGGTTTGATCCCCAGTATCACCAAGGGGGGGATGGGCCTAATAAATCTTATCTATCATTTTTTTTTTAGTTTTCCTTTAACATTTGTACATAAACTATGTATGTGTACAGTAAACTCTGACTTAAATCTCACCACCGACGGTGCTGACCAGATGAGCTAGGTTCAAAAGAGCTGGCTGCAACATTAAGCTAAGAAAAGGTGAGAAGCACAGGACACTGAAGTAATTTTCCCATCGAGGGCAGGACTGCTCTGCCACCTCAAGGGTCCTCTTGCACCCTGGAAGGCAAGAGAGCAAGTGTACCCAGAATCGACTTATTTATAGGGAAAAGACAACAAAGGAATTCGATAGAATATTCTACACCAAATAAGGCAGGGGATAAGGTTTCAAGGGGGGTTGCCCAATCCCATTGGGTAAGGCTCAAGTCCAGAGCTGAAGCAGACTTCTCTGTGCAGTGAAGGTGAAGGCCACTTGCTTCGCACAGCGATGTCAGAACAACACCCCCTTTACTCAAGGCTGAGAGGGGATGCCTAGCTCACAGGCAGGGCAGCCCCCCACACTTAACTACTTTTTTTTAATGAAAACATTTCACATTTTCATTATGAGGAAGCCAAGGAAGCAAACACTAGATAATGTGTCTCAAATTTAATGTTCAAATTCTTTTTATGTGTTTAAACTTATTTATTTTTGTGGTGCCAAGGATTGAACCGAGGGCCTTGTGCATGTTAGGCAGATGCTCTACCACTGAGCTGCAGTTCTGGCCCTAAATTCTCTCTTTGGATAAATGCTGATATACTTTATCAGACTTACCAAAAGCCAGTGCTGCAGACATAAGTTAAGATGTAGTTTCCTCCAGATGCCGGCTTGGTGTTCCTCTTATCAAGGATGGAGTTAAGCCACAAAAACCTGACTCATCTTGTTGAGGCCACAGTAGTGAGATATCTGACTAATAACAAGCACCGGGGAGTGCTCAGTACTGTACCAGCAGAGTGTGTAGGTAAACAGTGGAATTTGTTTAAATATTTTAAGCCATTGATGACCCAGTAGTTAAAAGCATCCAAGGAAAACTTGTCCCAAGTCTCCCCATCTGTCACTGTGACAGTAGGAAGAGTGGGGAAAGTGAGATTTTTTTTTTTTTTTTCAGGAACCCCGTAGTGTAAGAGTTGAGGTGAGGTTAGCATCCCGGAAATCAGAAATGTGCCCGGGCTGCCCTTTGGAAGGGGAAGGGACAGGAGTAAGCAAGGACAGCCATCCATTTAGCCAGCCCTGATGGTCTTGTGAGTTGTGCAAAGTGATGTCTGCAAGCACTGGACGTTGACATTGTTGATGTTTTCGTTAAGGCAGCTAAGAATGGAGCGACAGGTGTGGAGCTGGACATTGAGTTCACCTCCGATGGGATTCCTGTCCTGATGCACGACAACACTGTGGATCGGACGACAGATGGGACTGGCCGATTGTGTGATTTGACGTTTGAACAAATTAGGAAACTTAACCCTGCAGCCAACCATAGACTTAGGTAAGTAATTTATTGTCACTTACTCTTCTGTCCTTTGTTGGAGAGCACAGCTAGACACTGGCACTTCCTAATTGCATCTTCTATTCAGGAGAGTTGTTTTGAACTGTATTCAGGTTTCCCAAGCAATAAGCAGGCACCAGGAACAACAGAAATATGTCATGTATATTTTTAATCTTTCCCACTGAGGCCAAATTTGACCTTGGAATTACTCTCAAGATAATACTCAGTTTAGTCACTAACAACAGTTTGTACTGTGACTTTAATCACAGAATCATGAGGCTGAAAGAAGTTGCTTGTCAGTCTCCTTGTCTCCGAGTGTACCAGGGAACAAATCATGTGCTCTCTGACTTTCAAATAACATCCCTATTTGACCTAGCCCTTTAAACTCTTCAGATCCTTATAAGCAACCCCTGAGGTGTCATAAAATTTAAGGTATAAAACGTACCCTAGAAATCATTCAAAATAGGGCTGTTTAGAACTTTCTGCAAACAATGAAAGTATTCTCTATTGACTTTGTCCAATATAGTAGCCACATGTGGCTACTGAACACCACGTATGGCTAATACAGCTGAGAAACGAATTTTTCAATTAAGGTATAAATTTAAACTTAAAAGAGTCAGAAGTCTAGATTAATCCTGCTCTTAGAGATAATCCCAGAAAAGTTAAATGACTTACTCAAGGGCAAATAACTAATACATAAAGAAGCCAAGATTAGAGTCTGCCTATCTCAATTTCCAGTCCAAGAAGAATCTGCCATACTGTGTCATTTCTGGTTGCCCCCCAGTTTCTCAACCCCATAAGGCTGAAAGTACTTTCAGATGTTTAATTTGATCCCCTCTTGTTACATTTAAGCTCATAGCTTCCAAAAGCACATATATCAGATCTAGTCCTGTAAGTTTCTACAAGTAAACAGCTCTGTGATCAAATAACTACTATATTTGGAATATTCCTTGGGGGAGATGAACATCCACATCCTTCAATTATTAACTTCAATGAAGCACTTCTTAAGTCACACAAGCCTGTAACCTTCCCTCTATTAACAGTTTCACCTATCCTTAGAGTCGTAGTACTGGGTAATTTACTTTAGAATGTGGTTATTTAAATTCCTCCTCTTGTCTTCTTTGTAATAATGAAAAATGTATGCTCGCTGATTTGCATATAATACCAATTCTTGGAGGATAATCAATACTCCTTGAATATTGAGTATTTGATCTATCAACTGAGGAATTTATAGTCCTCCATAAAAGGTGATTCTGACCTTATTTTTCTAGGACCAGAAAGAAGCTAAAGGCAGCTAAAGAAAATCATAGTGTAAGCTGGAAAGAATATTGATCACATCTGAACATGCAGAATCCAGGCCACTAGAATTGCTCTTTACTGTCACCCAATATTTTGTTGCTCTGCTATGTATAAGGGGAAGGATGTTTTTAATAGTTCAACAACACTGAAGCTAATCAGATGTCAGTTTCAAAGCAAAAAATAGCTTAGGGTCAGCATCACCTTTAAAAGTCATTTAAGAAGGTATCACATCAAAGTCAATATACTATCTTGTTCTCTTCAACACAACCAATCTTGGATCCACAACTAGAGCAGGTGGCATTTTCTTTTGACTCCAGATGAAATCATTAGCTGTGGACCTCCAGGAAACACAGGTTTCTTCTCTAGAATCGAACTCAGTGTGGATGTCCTGAGAGGTGGGCGTGGAAACCAAGACCGGCCTAAGAAACATCAAATTCAAATCTATCTTTATGTAGAGTGAAATGAGAGGAAGAGCAAATTTCTTATATGTCGGGCTCTTAATCTTAATTTTCTGTATCAGAAAATCATGTATTACAAAATTATTTTAAACAGTTTCAGTTGACTAAATGTATAGTAAGTAGTATAGTTAATAGAGTTATGTATTTTCAGGAATTTCTTCTGCATAAGGTTCTATTAGGGAGATTTACTTAAAATTAAATCCCTGAGCTCTCCTTTGACAAGTAGAGTTACAGTAGAAATTTAGTGTTTCCTAAATATTACATAATTTTTGTTGCTGTTATTTGATCAAGAATATCCGAAACTTAGTTCAAGTACCTGCAGTGAATCACCCTTGGCTCTGGGGTGGTCAGCAAGGGGAAGCTGGGGAGGGGGGCGCTCTTTCCTTTTGTTTGAGAGACATTTGCAAAATGGCTGTTCCTCTCCTTCTCTTCCTGCAATGCTCGATCCTCTTCCCTCTCTCTCAGGAATGATTTCCCTAATGAAAAGATCCCTACCTTGAGGGAAGCCGTGGCTGAGTGCCTGCACTACAACCTCACAATCTTCTTTGATGTCAAAGGCCATGCAAGTATGGTATGTTTATTCATGGACTTTTCCTTGTTAAAAACACAGTTAAGGGGCTGAGATTGTGGCTCAGCGGTAGAGCGCTCGCCTAGCATGCGCGGGGCCCTGGGTTCGATCCTCAGCACCACATAAAAATAAATGAATAGAATAAAGGTATTGTGTCCAACTACAACTAAAAAAAAAAATATTAAAAAAAAAGTTAATTGCTAGGCATTTCCAAAATTAGCTATTTATTTTGTTATTCTTTTCTCTCATTTTTTACAAATTATATTTGCTTAATGAAAATAAACTCCTGAGTTTAAAGCTTATGGTAGCTAACAGAATACATTCCTTTTACATAGATGTGTCCCTCTGTATCATTTCTGTTATGTACAGTTTTGACAAAACTGTAATGTTACAGAGGGACACATCTATGTAAAAGGAACGTATTCTGTTAGCTACCATAAGCTTTTTTTAGTTGTAGTTGGACACAATACCTTTATTCTGAATCTTTCAGAAAATTACCACATTTTCTTCAAATGTGTATGACATTCCTAAATAAAATTTTTTTATAATTAGAAAATATATGCTTCTACTCATAAAAATATATTGCAATAGAAATCGATGAAGATATGATTCTAATTACATTTGTTCTCAACCAACTTTTCAAATATATATACTTTTTCCCCATTTCAGCAACTTGGAGTATTTTTCCCTTAGCAATATTTATAATCAGTAATGGTCATCAACTGATGTAGAGTTCTGATTATGCAAAAAAAAATTTTTTTTCTAGTCTCAGGAAATAAACTAGGTATTAAAGCCTGAAATATGAGCAAAGGTGTAGATTACAGTAAACTCCTATTTTTGAAGAAAAAGGAAAGTGTTATAACTAATTTACTATTCTGATAAACTTATACTTGTGTATGTCCAAGTTTCCGAGTTGATCTGTGTCAGGATCAGCTCGAATACCTATTGAAAAATAGACTGGGCCACCCAGTCTACAGAAGGGATTCTGAAAGTGTCTTGTGTGGAATTGGGAAAGTCTTTTTGGCGCTGGGGGTTGAATGCCGGGCCTCCCACATGCTAAGCATGCTCGCCCTCAACCTCAAGGAACATGTGTCTTTAATGAGCACATCAGGCTTTATTTATGGTGTTGTCCACATTTGGCAATCTAGTAGGTCCCACATTTTAGCCAGAGTGAACTTATTACCATGCTTATTCTCTGACAATAATAAAAAATAAATAATTGAAATTTTTAGAAAAACATCCACCTTCTTGAGTTTTCTGGAAGGGTGCTCACAGGTGTTCACCAGGACTGGTTAGAACACAGTGATCTCCATCACCAAATTGGTAGGAAGTTGCTACTGGTGAAACCTAGTAGCCTAGATCATGGCTTTGGGGTCGTGTAGCAAGCTGTGTACTTGCTACAAGGTAACTTCAACCTTGACAGCTTCAGTTTCCTCATGAACAAATGGGAATAATAAAAGAAATTACGTATAGGGTTGGGGAGAGCAGTCAATGAGTAGAGTAGGCAAAGAGCATGTGTTAGTTCAGAGCAGGAGACCAACTCTGGTCCTGCAGCTCGCGCTTGGGCTCGTTAGTGAGGGAGAGGCATGATGTGAAAGAGCATACTCTTTTCTTCATTTTGAGGGGAAGACATTTGTTGCTTATAGTCCCTGTGGCCGTGTGCCACATTCCAGAAATCAGCAGGATGTAGCATTGTGATGTAGCAGCCGTTCCCGTGAGCCTGGCGGACCCTGGTCATGTCAGCTGCCCTTGTAACCCTAGGGGCTACGTGATGTCAGTATCCAAATTCTATCCTTTCTTCCCCATTTAATAGCTAGATTACCACAAAAAGAAGTTTATTTTTTTTAAAACATCTGCTGTTTAGGGGGGTTGGAATACCTCCATCTGTTCCCAGTCCCCCCTCATCCCTCCATAGTGGTGATGGGTGACAGGTCCTCTCAGCCCCCTGACTGAGCAGATCTACTCTCTGTAGTTCCCAGCCTGTTGGCTCAGACTTCATCTAGAAGAGACAGAGGGCGCTAAATTGTGGGCGTAAAAGGGCTGTTCCTAGCTGGGCGCACTAGCACATACCTGTAATCCCAGCGACTCTGGAGGCTGAGACAGGAGGGTCGCGAGTTCAAAGCCAGCCTCAGCAAAGGCAAGGCGTTTAGCAACTCAGTGAGGGCCCTGTCTCTAAATAAAATCCAAAATAGGGATGGGGGTGTGGCTTAGTGGAGTGCCCCGAGTTCAATCCCTGGTACCCACCCCCCTCTCCCCCAAAAAAGGGACTGTTTCTAGTACTGAAAACAGGGTACAAGGAAAGAATTTTAAAAATTTGATTCCACCCTCTAGCCTCCAACCTGCCACCTTCCAAAACATGACACAGAGTCGAGCCTCCCACCCAGAGGGAGAGCAGCCGCCCTGGCTGCTTCCTGGTCTGACTGGTGTGCGTTTGTTTGCGTGGGGAGTAGAAGCAACCAGCACTTTGAGCATCTCCATTTGATATTGGCAGACTCCTCGTTTATGCAGCAGGGCTGTGCTTTACACGTCGATGGTGATTGACTGGGCTGTCACATTTGAATAGATTTTAAATATATGAATCTCTCTGTTTTACAGGCCACTGATGCTCTAAAGAAAATATATATGGAATATCCACAGCTGTATAATAATAGTATGGTCTCCTCATTCTTGCCAGAAGTTATCTATAAGGTAAAATTCCGAGTTGTTCTTGTGCGTTAGTGCATTACCCAACAATCAGAGAAGAGCCTGGGCTGGTGCAAGCCATCATCAGCATGCCCAGGGCTTCCAGCTGTTGGGAGCACTGTTCCCAAACTTCCTTGGTCACAGAGGCCTTTAAACTGTCTGAGGCATTCTGCAGAGGGGCCGGGGAGCACAGGGGAAGGCCTCCACCCACTCTCCTTCCCGCTTCGCTCCCCCATCCACTCGCTCCTCACAACCCCTTTCTCCTCACACCTTCTCGCCTCCCCACAGCTCTTCTTAGGAGAAAGGATCAGAGCTAACGGACCATGGGTCCATCCTAATTGAGTGCTGATTATCTCTGGCCAGAAATGAGAATCAGGAATCCATTAAAAGCTTATTTTTTTGACCTTCTGAATATTTATCCTGCCATTGTGATTTTTCATGGTAAAGGTAGGATTACGGTTCTTTGGGAAAGGGCTCTTGTGTATTCTACACATCCAGTGCATACATTTACGTGCATTTCCTCAAAGGGTTTATGACAGAGAACTTAGAAAGTGGACAGGCTACCTTGGCCACCTCATCAGAATGAGAACTTTGGCTAAATTTAAACTGAGAAGTTTTAGACTTAAGACATAATTATTTTATTTTACGAAATTCATTTCAGATGAGACAAACGGATCAGAATGTAATAACAGCTTTAACTCACAGACCTTGGAGCCTGAGCCACACAGAGGATGGGAAACCACGCTACAGTGGTGTCTTTAAGCAGTTCCTGTTTGTAGTAATGGACATTTTGCTCGATTGGAGCATGCATAACATCCTGTGGTACCTGTGTGGGATTTCTGCTTTCCTCATGCAGAAGGATTTTGTATCTCCGTAAGTTGGGAAGCTTTTTATCTTCTCCTGACACATTTCCTGAATGCTCTTTCTGGGATGGAAGGATTAAGGAAGTGGACATCCTGGATTGGTTTGGACCCACCAGGCCACTGTATCTCTGTGAAACTGGGAGGCACCAGCTCCACAGGAGGGAAAAGTTCAGGTATATCTCACTCATTCAAAACGGGTCGAGCTGGACATGGTGGCGCAGGCCTGTAACCCCAGCAATTCAGGAGGCTGAGGCAGGAGGATCACAAGTTCAAAGCCAGCCTCAGCAACTTAGTAAGGCCCTAGGCAACTTAGCAAAACCTTTTCTCAAAATTATAAATAGGAAGTTGTGGATGTAGCTCAGTGGTAAAGTGTCTCTGAGTTCAATCTCTGCTATGCCACCCCCCCCAAAAAAAAAGGTTGACCAGATAGTCATGGCTTTTTAGCGCATCTTAAAGAAAAAAATGAAAACTGTGGTAAAAGAGGGATTGCGTGCTTTCTGAATTGGCTCCCTGTTAAAATGAATCCAGGATCCAGGGCAGAGCCATAGCAAAGACATCCTGTGAGTCCCAGCCCTATTCCTCCTCTCAGGTTCTTTCAGGCTCCCTCAAACCCTATAGGCTCCACCCCATCTCTGCCAAGAGACATTACCTAAACAGCCAGCAGTCTCAGAATCTTTCTTTTGGCAGTTTTCAAGCTGTGTCTTTCCTAATTAGAGTTGTAAGTGTCATGTGGTTTGAAGCATGCAGTGTTCAGTCAATATGTGGTTATTGCCTGGAGTATTACAAGGAGCTCTATTAAGAAGCTGAAGACGCAGTGAAGAAACAAAGCCCTGGTCTCTTATTAACAACAAGCTGGGGCTGGGGCTCAGCGGTAGCACACTCACCTGGCATGCACAAGGCGCTGGGTTCGATGATCCTCAACACCACGTAAATGTAAAATAAAGAAATTGCGTCCACTTAAAACTAAAACAAAACCCCAACAAGCTGGCATGCTGGAGGGTGGATGGTCACACCTGTGTCCACCTCCCATGGAGCCTCTGAGGGATTTACACAGGGTCTTTGTGGGGTTGTTATCTTGGTTTCGGGCAGGTGGGTGCCGGGGGAAACTTGCTATTTGAAGGTCTGCTGCCTGGTTTTCATCAAAGCCAGTCTCTGCTTTATCTCTTTCTTTTTTTGGTAGAGAGTGGCTCCAGGATTGAACTCTGGGGCGCTTAACCATTGAGCCATGTCCCTGGCCCTATTTTGTATTTTATTTAGATACAAGGTCTCACTGAGTTGCTTAGCACCTTGCTGTTGCTGGGTCTGGCTTTGAACTCGCGATCCTCCTGCCTCAGCCTCCCAAGCCAGCTTTATCTTTTTTTGACCGTTACCTTTTTCACTGTGACCTTTCCACAGAGAAAAGTCCATGCATTTTAAATAATTCTATAGTTAGTCAAATGTTTTTAAAAATATTTAAAAGAGAGTGGGGTGGAAACAAAGTTATGTTCACAAAACGAAAAGAAGAAAGGAAGGAGGGAAAGCTTCTATCTCAGGGTGCAGCCCGGCTAAGCTAAGAGCTGCTGGGTGAGAGGGGACTGGGCAGGAGAAGCACGGTCTTTCTAGGAACGGAGAGGGAAGCAATATTTTGCAATACAGAAAAGACAGGCAGGGTGGCATGAGGTGAGGCAGGGACCACGCCCCATCTGGCCTGCGGTGGCTGTGTCGAGAGCATTTGTTGGGAAGGGGGAGTCATCAGTGGGCCCCTGTAGCGGTGGAAGTGCAGAGCCAGCCGGCAGTTCTTTCTGGGCACTGTTTGCACTCAGTGAATGTCTAACAGGATTGGTTTTTCTTGTTCTTCAGGGACTATTTGAGGAAGTGGTCAGCTAAAGGAATCCAGGTCGTTGGTTGGACTGTCAATACCTTTGATGAAAAAAATTACTACGAATCCCACCTTGGTTCCAGCTACATCACCGATAGCATGTTGGAAGACTGTCCCCCGCAGGTCTAGACTTTTATCCTGGGGAAACACAGGTTCAGAAACTGCCTGTCGGCCTCATGCAGGGAGATCCAAATACCCTTTGTGCTAGCCCAAGCCCTGGGGGATCAGGTGGCCAAGCAACAGGGCAAGCAATAGTGGGTGATTACATATTTACCTGAACAAATTAAACCCTGGTGTTGCCATGCTCCATGGAATACCCAAGTTCAACACTGTCGCTCTTGAAAATCTGGATCTGAAAAAAGGCACAGCAGCCCCGCCCCGACCCAGCTGAGGCCCACACCCAGACCCAGTCAGGATAAGCACAAGACGAGTTGTGCGGTCGGGATTCAGACGTAGTGCATGGGACTTGCATGATCACTTGGAGTTGACATTTTAAAACTTGCCACATCTAAGTAATTGACTTACTTGAAATATTTGTATTCAGCTCTGTTAACAGTGTGCTCTAGATGTCAAACTTGTGACCATACTAATAAAGTCATTAAAAGGAGCACAAGAGGAAAACTGTGTAGCCAGCATCACGTTCTGAGGCCCTGAGGAACTTGGGGAAGCCGCTCAGGTGAGGCTTCAGTGTGCAGCAGCCACAGGGAGAGAAGCCTTGGAAGCAACGGGAGGAATCTGACAGCGTCTTGAATGAGAGCTGCAAACCACCAGGGGGCAGAGGTGCGCTGTGGAGGTGCAGGAGGCAGCTCCCAGGAACCTCTAGGCTTATCCGTATTGTACAAATGAAAATACCAAAATTTGTGCACAAGGAGGGCAGCCTCAGAACCTCACAGCTGGTGATGTAGCCAAGATCCATCCCCTGATACCCGAAATTTCTTGTTTATTATAGGCCAGGAACAGTGCCAGGGTTTTAACATGCCTGACATTGAACCCTCACAAAGATTATAGAAGTGTTATTATTCTCGTTTTACTGATGAGGAAACTGAGGCACTTTCCCAAGGTCTCCGGGTCCACAGTTCAGTTGGGGATTCAAATCCAGGGAGGTCTGACTCCAGGTCACAGCTCTTTCCCACAAGAATATCCAGGGATGTGAATAAACAATGAAGACATTAATAAGTACTGCTAAACACTTCCTTGGCAGGCTTAATACAGAGTTAAAAAATAATAGAATTTATGATCAGAGAAAGCCAAGTCTGATATGGGCCAGGTTAATTCATCTGTAACATAGGGGGGTAGTATGTAGAGTACCTCCTCATGATTAAATGAGTGCATGTAAATGCTTGATAATAACCACTGACTGCCTACCATGTATTGGATCTGTTTCCTGTGTATTTACTCTTGGCAACGAAACTGACCTGTAGGTATCACTGTAATCACATTTCACAGTAAAAGAAACCAGAGCACAGGGAAGTTCAGTAACTTGCCTAAAGTCACAGAGAGCAGTGATGAATGTCGGGACGCAAACCCAGATGACCTAATTCCAGAAATCACTTTTTTTTTTTTTGAGACGGGGTCTAAGTTGCTTAGGGTCTCATGAAGTTGCTGAGGTTGACTTTGAACTTGTGATCCTCCTGTCTCAGCCTCCCAAATGGCTGGGGTTACGGGCATGTGCCACTGCACCCGGCCACAGCTCACATTCTACCCCTTGTTTATTATCCTCTCTGGCTCATAGCAGGGACTCAAAACTGAGAAATATCTTAAATCATTGCCAGCACCTCTTATAGGGTCAGTCATATAATAAATGCTCAATAAACGTTTGTTGAAGGAATGCGTTATGGAATATATCCAAGTGGAAGCTTCCTCAGGGAAACTGGGAATAGTTAGACAAAAATTCAGGGTTGTAGATAAGATTCATGGTTCAGTATAATCAAGGAGGGGCGGGCCAAAAACATGGTAGTATTCTTTCCAAGAGAAAATCAATGCAGGTGGAGCTCACATCCTGTGCTGCTTCATTGGGCTGCCTGGTAAGCCCCAGGAGGCTGCAGAAGTAGCTAACAAAAACAGCAGCTTGTGAAATCTACTACTTCATTGTATAGTAATCATATTCGTTTGTGGTGATTGGTTATCTGCAATTTTTTCAGCAAGAATTTGTCCCACACAGATGTATTTTTAACAGATACAATTTCTCAGTGAAGCTACACCTACCAGTTTCCTAAATTGGGAATGGGCTTCAACAAGATGGTAAACCAGAGCTTCGAGGACAGGGTGTGGGTGATGGACATGCTCCAAACAACCACAGAGACCCTTGCTCACAGACACCGATGATCACGTCTGGGTGAGGTTATAGGACTTCTTTGGTCAAAGTTACTGAAGACTAGTGACCCCATTTCTTCTACTCAAAATTTAATAGTACGACACTGAAGAGGTTGGGAATCAGCTGGGATAAAGTATTCAATGTTGGTGGGTGGGGGGGGGTGTTAGAAATGCAAATTCTCAAATCCCAGCCCAGCATCAGAAACTCTGCTTGTGGCCCAGTGGTTAGTGTTTTAGTAAGCTTCTCTCCCAGGGTCCCTCAAGTCTGGGAACCATGGAGCCAGAGAAACCCATCCAAGGGAGTCCTCCATTCTGTCACTAACTCGCTGTAAGACCTTAGACACAGCACTTCCCCGTGTGTGTGCCCAAGTTCTCATCTGTCAAATGCTAATCACAGCCCTGGCCCGTTGCCTCCCAGCGACAATGTGATGAGGTTCAACCAAAAAAGCAAGCAGAAGTGTTTTTGAAAAACATGTTGGCAGAACAGGACTGCTAGGAAGATAAAGAAAAAAAAAAGATGTGCACAACTCAGAGCGAGGCCCTCAGACCCACAGCACTTGTTAGAGATGCAGACTCCGACCCCATCCCTAACCTCACAGATTAGGATCTGCCTGAGAGTGAGGTCCCCAAGTTGGAAAACACACGCTGGTGTTTTGGAGGAACCCTGACACAATACGGGTGTAAGGCATTACTTTTTCTTTTTGATACAGGGGATTTAACCCAAGGGTGCTTTACCACTGAGCTACATCCCCAGTCCTTTTTAAAACTTTATTTATTATTTATTTATAGGCAGGGTCTCACTAAATTGCTGAGGCTGGACTTGAACTTGCAATCCTCCTTGCCTCGGCCTCCTGAGTCACTGGGATTATAGGCATGAGCCATGTGCCAGCTAAGGCACTAGTCGTAATTCAGAACTTTTGTGTCCCCACCTGACCACACCTGTCTTTGGTTCTGTCTAGCAGTTGGGTCAGATGTAAATGCTATGGAAAAGTCCCAATTTTAAAAAATTAGGGAGGTACTCTTAAATGCTGCCAATACTAAAAGATTGTGCCTGTCAATGAGCTTAATTCTAAGATATCATCCATCTTTTTTTAAGCACTGGCCTGCCTTTTGAAGGAAATGATACAATTTCAAATTGCTTCAAATTGGAACTTCCTCCTCAAGAAGTGGCATAAGAATGTAACGTTGATTTGGCATGAGCTTAATTCTTAACACTTGCCACCAATTCAAAGATTATAAAAACCTATGCAAGTTGTTTGCTACTTCAGTCACTCCTCATAATTGAACTTCACACACGATGTCTCATTGCCTCATAAGAAATGAACTGGTTTTCACGGCAGCCACTTGAAGGATCAGATCCTGCATAAACTCAAAAGAAGCTCTCCCTATTCATCCTAAAAACCACAGAGGTTCTCTAATTAAATGGCCACAGAAAAAGCTCTATGATTAGAATCAAGCACCCCTACAAAGTCCCATGTATTGAAGGCTTAGTCTGTAGTTCATGGTGCTATTGGTCTTCCCCCCATCCCCCAGAGGGGAGCGGGTACCAGGGATTGAACTCACGAGCCCTCCACCACTGAGCCACGTCCCCAGACCTATTTTGTATTTAGAGACAAGGTCTCTCTGAGTTGCTTAGCGCCTCACTTTGCTGGGTCTGGCTTTGAACTCATGATCCTCCTGCCTCAGCCTCCCAAGCCACTAGGATTATAGGCATGTGCTACCGCACCTACCCATGGTACTATTAAAAAGTGGAGGTGAGGCCTAGTGAACCCTTCAGTTTTATTTTTAATTTTTTTTTAAACATTCTTCTAGTTGATAGATCTTTATTTTATTCATTTATACACAGTAAGTGCCTCACACATACCAGGCAAGTACACTACTGCTGAGCCCCAGCCCAGCCCAGAACCCCTCGGTTTTAAGAACAATCAAAGAGGTTCTCCTTGTCAATCATTTGGCAAATCTAAAAAAAAAAAAAAAAAAAAAAAATCATCACACACACACATTCATTTCATATGCGCACACATGCACCCTACACCACCACTAATTTTATGATTGGTGCAGCTTAAGATTCTGATGATCATGTGTAAAACCTTAGGGGGCAACTTTTCTCCCCTACCTTCCCTACCCTGGTCTAACCCCAAAGCTCTTGTGCTTGATATGAAATAAAGTTTCAGAGATAAGACTTCATTGCACCTTTGGGTCACATGGGGGATGTTTTAATTCTAAATCACCAACAAATGCAAGTTACACAATTCAGACACTTTGTATCCCTGATTGAGTATCACGTTTTTATTCAATCTGGGCCACTTTTCTTAGCACCAGTTTGTAAACCTTTGCCAGGTCCCGGGAACGCTGGGAAGAGAGATTCCTAAGGACCAATCGTTCAAACAAACAAAAATTCTTGGAGACAAAATGGACTATTCTCAGATTATCTCTAACCATGGTTTTGTGGGGTCATTTCAATATCACAACAGTCTTTACTGGGAAATCCTGGAGTAGGCCACCTTGAAAAATCAGCAGTTGGGTTTCAAAAGTAGCAGAGGCGGCCCAATTTGACTTTGGCATTTACACTGAGGGTCAGTTCCGGCTCCTGCTTAAGGTGTGGCTTCCTCTTCCTAGAGGCCCAGGTATCATGGAAGAAGTGTTCCCCCTTTTATCTTCTCTCTTCATTTGATGGGTGTCGTCACACCTTTCGATTATCTTCTTGAAAGGATCGCCTGAATCGCAGGTCTGCGTGGGACACAGGAGGAGAGAGTGGTCAGTGCAAACCCACACCGCCCTGTCTCTGTAAGGGAGTGACCAGATGGATCTCAGGCCTCCTTGATCTCCCCCCTTTTACTTTCTGAAATCCTCCCTTGAATTCCCGCCATGCAGTCTCAGTAAACGCTATCCACAAAAGACAAAAGGGTTGGTTTGTCGTCCAGCCTGCCCCCTCCCCCACCAGCATTTGTTCCCCTTCTGACATCAACCCCAGATCTTCCTTGGGAGGTCACCCCTCCCTCTCTCAGTGCCTGTCATCTCTATGGCTGTACCCACAGCTGCAGCATGTCACTCAGATCTGACCAAGGAAACCACCACATCTTCAAAGCCACAGCGATCGGCTCATGGATGGGCGAACTGCCCCAGCAGATCCAATGAAATGCCAGGAAAATTCTAGGTCCCCTGCTCTTTCCCACTAGACTGAACCCAAGGAGATACGAGGGGTTGATAAAAAAAAAAAAAAAAAGGTTTTGCAATTATCAGGAGGAGACTATTTGCAAAACAAACTAACATGGAAAAGAACCCCAGAGAGGAACCAGGTTCTGGTGACGTTGCAAACTCCCGTCTTAGGACACACAGAAAACAAGAATTACTCTTGGATGTTTGCTTCAGCCCGTTTGCATCCCATGATCCACAGAGCAATTATGACCCTCTGCCTTGGGCTGTGCCGTGAACTGGGACAAGTTAGTGTCTTACTCTCTGACAGTTCCATTGCTTACCTGGAGTAGCGGCCTGTTCCTTCAAATGCAAAGGCACTTGCTGCTGAAAAGAAAGGAAAAAGGCCACCATGTCACTGGGAAAGAACGTAGATCCTGGGTCTCGTAGCACAGGTGGTGTGTTTTGTGAACTTCTCATTACTTTAAAACGAAGGACTGGTGACTAAGACCAAGCCTCGGCCACAGAAGTATGGCGTTTTAGGGACAATGATTTCATTCATTCATTCCACAGATATTTACTGAGTGATTACAATGGGCCGGGTCATATTAGGACCTAAGGTGACAAGGGTACAAACATGACTGGTGGCCGAGAGGATTCAAGTTGAGCCTCTAGATCCCTTCCCCAAAGAATGCTGGCAGTATTAACATGCGACCGATAATAAATTACAGTGTCAAGATCACACGTTCCGGGCTGGGGATGTGGCTCAAGGGGTAGCGCGCTCGCCTAGCACACGTGAGGCACTGGGTTCAATTCTCAGCACCACATAAAAATAAAGATATTGTGTCCACCTAAAACTAAAAAATAGATATTAAAACAAAAAAGATCACTCCTTTCAAAATCACACCTTCCATTTGAATTAAGGTGGATTTCCTATTTATCTGTATTTTCCAGGGCACCAAGGAAGTGGGCAGAGGCTTTGGAATTGGAGCAGGGCTTTCTGCATCTTTATACCCTCTTGGCAGGACTAAAGTCAGCAGAATACAGCAATATCTCTTAGCATTATTACATGCATGACCTGTGGCAGCAATTCTTGCCTAAGATAATTCTAACAAAAAGTGCTTCGTTACACACTATTCTAAGTATTAAAAAAAAAAAAACCTGAGAATAAATGAAATGGCTAAATAGGTACAAAATAAAATAATCCAAGATACAGTGTTAGGTGTATATCGTGGTAGAGTTATGATACTATTTGTATAATATGGCCCCACTTTTGTAACTAAATAAAGTGTCAGTAGATAGAGGCGTGACTGCCCGTGCCCAGGGAAAGAAGATCTGGAAGAATAGACACTGAAGCATTAATGGTGGGAATGAGATGTCAGGGTACTTTTCATCTCAGCAGGATATACCTCTGCATCAGCAGGTTTTAGAAAACAAATGTGAGCTCTGTGAGGACAGGGCCTTTGTTTTGTTCCCAGTAATCCAGCATCTAGAACAAGCCAACCATGGAATATGTCAAATGATCAACTGATTTTTTTTTTTTTTTTTTTTTTGAGGAAGAGTCTAAAATAGCTCAGATACATACTGTTTTATGATAATTTTTTTTTTTGGTACTAGAGATTGAACCCAGGGATGCTTTACCACGGAGCCCCATCCCCAGCCCTTTTTATTTGTCATTTTGAGATAGGGTCTTCCGGAGTTGCTCAGGGCCTCACTAAGTTGCTGAGGCTGGCTTTGAACTTGTGATCCTCCTGTCTCAGCCTCCTGAGTTGCTGGGATCACAGGAGTGTGCCAGTGCACCTGGTATCAATTGATTTTTTTTTTTTAAATTGAAAAACCACAGAAATGCTTAAACATAGAAAGCGAAGAGCCCTTATGTGACCCCAACAGCTTGGTCTCTAGTTCCCAGGTGCACTTTTCACAAAGGGCTAGTCTGCATCCCTGAGCTCCCGGGGCAGCCTCTGGCCTCACCTCCACCTCCCTCCTTTCCAGTATCAGTGCGCTGGGGTTGGCTCTCTTCTCCATATCCTGCAGCTTGATCAACTTCTCTATCAGGAACATCTTATCTTTGCCCTCCTGCCAAGAAGGAAAAAGAAAAACAAAAATCAAACCATGGGGGAATGAATGATGGTGTAGTATTAAAGAGAAATTGGTTAAAAGAAGGTACCAGAAGTGGGATGGAGACTGTTTCCATATTTTCTTTTGATGAAAAGAGAAGAAGCATTTCACAGCAAGGCCAGTGACCCCCTACCCAGACCCCCAGAGCCCTCCTGCATTATAAGAGGCTCCACCAAAGCAATTCCCCTACCAGGCTTGGGCAAGACCCTCCTCTAGCCTAGAACTAGAAGGAACTGAAGGTTTCAGTATTGACACAGCCAGGATCCCCTGGATTAAGATGATACCTCTCAGGGGAAAAAGACAGCCAAGTGAGCGCTGAGTCTTATGCGGGTTTCTTAGCCAGGCCAGAAACCAGGAGTTAGAAGATCAAGAAGACTTCAAGCCTAGGAGAGATGGGAAGCTGGGAGAAAGTGAGCTCAGCCTTCTGAGACTCTGTGGTCAGCAGAAATGCCGGCTACCGCCAAACAAGGTGGGGCTGCCCTATCCTGAAAATGGCAATATTAGAAACTTTCCCCGAAGATAAGGGGAATGGGGATTGGGGCAAACGAAGGTATAGAATAGTCCCTGAAGTCACCTTTACCTTATTCACATGGTAAAAAGCACACCCCTAGGTGGAGCTAGGAGAGTCATGAAACAGGTGTTCCATGAAGAAGAGCACAGGTGAACTGAGGTCCCACCTCTACGTATGTGATGACATCAAGAGACTGAGTCTTTCCCACCCCACAGTTGCCATGGAACTGTGCACCTTTGATCTCTGCTGGAGCCGGTCGGACTCTCTTGGATCATGCTGTGTCTTACTTCTGGCCCTAAATAAAGCCTTGCTTCTGCCTACATTCTGTCTGGGTCCGAGGTTGGTGTCTATGACTCTGGATCCAAGAACCTGCTTTTGTAACGGCGTCCCCCTTCTTGGCACACTCCTGCCCCAGAGCCTACTCTACAGCCTGGTACTGCCTGGCCGTGTCCTGTCTTCCTGCTGAGCATGCCAGAGCTCGGGGCTCTGTCCCAAAGGCTGTCCGGTGGGATTCCTTGGTCCACTTGATCTCTGTGCTGATGGAGATGAACAATTCAAAATTGGTCAGAGGAACTAAGGAAGGAAACACGTCTTCTCCTTGGAGAGCAGGAAATGTGTAGAATATTCCTCCTGGGTCTTGTTGGCTTCAAAGCTATTTTCTCTTATTCCTCTTCTATTAATTAATTCAGATTCTTCTGTAGGAAAAAAAAATGTCCTTGGGAATTTTTAACAAGTCCTCCAGGTGTCTTGGATGTAGCCAACGTGTTTAGAGATCTCTGACCTGTAGCAGCTGTCTCCACTCTCTAGGATGAATTAGAGTTACCTAAGAGTGTGCAAAAATGCAAACTCCTAGGCTTTCCCTGATCAGTTTTTATTCAGAGAGGTAAACGATATTGTGTTTAAGAACACAAACTTTGGAGTTTTCTGTTTCTCCATGTATTAACCCTACAATTAAGGATGAATCAATGCAATCTGAAGGCCTTGGTTTCCCTAATTTAAAATGGGGAGTTTAAAGAAACGCATGTGCCCTCGTTAGGATTCAATTTTATATATATATATATATTTTGTTCATCACTTAAAACAATGCCAGGCATCATGTAAGTGCTCAGTAAATGTTACGTGTTGCCTGAATAGGGAAGTATCGGGAATTTGTATTTCTAACATTTTATGCCGGTGGTCATTCTTTGAGAAGGATTGTTGCAAAGTCTATTCCCAAGCCTTTGACTGGGTTCTTCTGGAGATGATATCCCTGCCTTTGGGGGTCCATCCTCTGGGTGAGACTCCCAAGCAGGAAGGTCTGTAGTGATGCTCATGCTGCCTTCTAATGACGTCATCCAAACCTCTCCCCGGTTTACCTGGCACTGTCTTTACAAACCCAAGGCTTTAGAATCAAATCCTTCCTGTGTTGAGATCTGCATAAGATTTTCCCAAGACATTTAGAGGTCTGCATCAGAGGAGCATTGGTAAAGCTTCTGGGGGTGAGGAAAAAGAGCATTACTAACCCACGCCCCTCCTTTACCTTCTGAAAGAATAAACTCAAATTATCTGAAACCCCACAGATAAGTAGATAAGACACTAGGAAGTCCTATTTCTTCAGCAAATGTCTAGATACAAGATCTTATATCACAGCCATGGAAGGACAGAAAATCAGCCCAGGATCAATAAGCACCCCCGTGCCTAGACTACAGTCTCTAACTACCATTTCCCAAAGACTCTTTGAAGGAACAGCTGCTTCCTGTTCTGTAACAGGAAATGAACCAAGACGAACCTAGAACACCTGGTTCTTTCGGAGAGTAAGGAACCTATCAAATACTTCTGGTGTCATGTCAAAAGAACCCAGAAATTAATTCAATTCTTTAGATTTTTTCCTAGCAAATAATGAGACTCTTTGAGCATAAAAATGACTGCAATTTTGGGGTTGTGGCTCAGCAGTAGAGTGCTCACCTAGCACATGCAAGGCCCTGGGTTCGATCCTCAGCACCACATAAAAATAAATAAATAAAGGTATTGTGCCTAACTACAATTGAAAAATAAATATTAAAAAGAAAAATGATCCCTAAGTTTAAAAAAAATGACTGTAATTTAAAGATATCAACCTATACTTAAACTTTACATTCATAATGATAATTTTAAAATCCCCATAGGCTGTATTTGGAAGTTGTTAGGTGTAATGGATTGAATAGTGTCCCCTTTTAAAAAGACATGTTTCAAGTTCAAATGCCAGGACCTGTGAATATGACCTTAGTTGGGAATAAGGTCTTGGAAGATGCAATTTAATTAAGGATTGTGGGATGAGATCGGCCTGAATTAGAACAGAAACCTAAATCCAATGAGAAGAACTTGGAAAAGAAGAGAAGAAGAAATCAAGAAAAAGGCCTTGTAAAGATGGAGACAGAGATTGGCATAATTATCTCTATTATCTCTATGATATAAATGGATCTTCTAGGCCACACACACATCAAAGCCTACTAAATCCATTAGCTGAAAGGTTGATGGGAATTCTATCATAGATCCATGGGGCTGAAGAAGCTCTGACCAGCAATCGCTCTTAACATCACAGAAATTAGACAGTCAGACATTGTCTATCTGAAGGGGATGTCACAGAAGGGCACAGCACCACCCATGAAGTACAGAGGGTCCCCAAGAAGATGTTGTGATTTTCCAACTTTACTACAGTGTGAAAATCATGCATATTCAGTAGAATCTGAACTTCAGAGTTGGAGTTTTGCTCTTTCCCAGGCTAGTGAGATTTGGTTCGATACTCTCTTGTAATGCTGGGCAGCGGCATCCAGCTGTGGCTCCCAGTCAGTCACGGGCTCACAAAGGAAACAGCAGATACGCTACAGTGAACAGTGTTGCTCGTCTATGATGCAAAAAGACCCTGGAAGGAACTGTGGGGAAGCTTGACATTGGGCATTAGATGATCACAGTCAATTCTTGGTAAGTTTTCTTTTAGGTGCAATGAGGATATATTGTGGGTATGTTTTTAAAGTCTTTATCTCAAAGAGATGCATATAAAATTTTAAACAGATAAAGAAAAAATAATGCCAGGCCTAAGATTTGCTTTAAAATAATGCAGAGATTTGCAGGGAAGATGTAGTATAGATGAAATGAGAGTTTCCAAAGGTTGATTGATGGTTGCCGGGGCTGGATGGTGGGCTTATGGGGGTTCATTGTACTATTTACTGTCTCTGTTTTGGAGTATGTTTGGAAATGTCTATTATGAAGGGTTTTAAAGGAGAAGGCTGACACAGGGCCCAGTGAGACTTACATTAATGATCTGTTCATGGAGAAGCCTGATCATAATCTTCCTTCCCTCTGTGATCTGCCAGTAAAGATAGGTGATGATTCTGGAAGAGAAGAAGGGAAAGGGTGACAGTTGCAGGCTCCAAATGCCAACTGGGTACAAGGGGACTGGAATATTTGCTTGCAAACGGGTTTTGACTCCACTATGTTCCTGGAAGTTCCGATCACCGGGAGTTTCAGGAACAATAGAGTAATGGTTCTTCACTGGGCTGCACATGGGATCACCTGGGAGGTGCAAATGAGACCCACGCCGTGGCCGGTCTTTAGACCCGTGAGTTGCATGTCTCTGGGCGTGTGGTCAGACATGCGCATGGTTCCAAGATGTATCTCGAGCTTGTGGATTTGGACAGCGCTGTTCAAACTTCAGGGAATACACATTTCTTGGGATTGTGTTCAAATGCATATTCTCATTTAGTAGCTCTGGGGCAGAGATCAGATTCTGCATTTCTAACAAGCTCCCAGATGTCTGTCTGTCTGTCTATCTACCTATCTAATCTTTGTCCCTGGCACACCAACACTAAATTCCTTGGCATCTCCAGAGTGTCCTTTGAATGTGAATGAAATGTCTGGTTGTCGAGGGCCCCTGGATGGTTTCAGGATGGGCAGGACAGAACGGCTGGAAATCAAGTTCAACACCAAAGATTTCGTCATCAAGCATGCCTGCCTAGGAGTGGACGTGGAGTCACCATGCCACCCCCTCCGTCACACCTTGTCCTTGACATCTCTTCCCCTTGGCTCTCCTTGAGTTACCGCCTCTATCGTACACTGGTAATCGTGCTTTCCAGAGTTCTGTGAGTCATCTTAGCAAATGATCAAATCTGAGGAGGGGGCTGTGGGGAACCCTCAAGCTGATAGCCGGTCGGTCAGAAGTGCAGGCCCCCTGGGTCTTGGGAGCAGCGTCTGAAGGGGTGGTGGACTCACAGGACTGAACCCTCGGGGAGCATGACACGAATGTCAGAACTGAAGTAAGCCGTAGCACCCCCAGCTGGTGTCTGGGGAGTTAAAGAATTGGTTGGTGTGAAGGGGAAAGCCCCTCCCACACACACACACACATATTTGGTGTCAGAAGTGTGACTGCAAAGAACACAAACCCAGTCAGTTAGCAGGGGACAGGAGCAAAGCCACCAGGAGAACTCAGCGTGGTCAGGAAGCCAGTGGCAATGTGGCGCTGGGGAGGGAAGGCGTAAGTGGGGACCGGGAGACCCGGTTCTAGCCTCTCCTGCCACTAACAGGCCCTGGGGCCCGGAACCTGTCTCGGCAGGTCACCCCATCTCTGTAAGTCTCATCACCTCCCTCTGTGAAGCGGAGGGATCACCCCACACTGTCCACACCACCTGGCTCCGGGACTCGGTGCCTTTGAGTCCTGGCTCTCTGTACAGGAAGGTGCCATCCTGGGCAGGGGCTGGGGCTCAGTGGTAGAGCTCTTGCCTGGCGTGTGAGAGGCCCTGGCTTCGACTCTCGGCACCACATATAAATAATAAACATAAAGATCCATTGGCAACTAAAAAAATATTAAAAGATAAGAAAAAGAAGAAGTTGCCATCTCAAATGACACCAAGGTCAAGAGTCTCATCAGCAACTGCCATAATCAACCAGCCAACTACTCTGTGCAGGAAAATAGGCACAGGGGTAACAAACCTACTTTTTTTTTTTTTTTACTAGAAGCCAGAAATGGACCTTTTTTAAAAAATAAATAAATAAATTTCCTAATGTAGCAATAATGTCCAAACCATTTTTTTTCCATATCACAATCCCAGAAGGAATCATACCTATGATTTTCCTAAGATCTCATATCCTTCTTTTCATTTTATTCTCTTATCATCTCTCGAAAGGGGCAAAGTGGGTATTGCTCTCTTTATATACCTTGGGGACCAAAAAACTCAGAGAAGATATTCAAAAAACTCTTTTTAAAAAAAAACTACCAGGGCTGGAGACATAGCTCAGCTGGCAGCGCGCTTGCCTGGCATGCACAAGGCCCTGGGTTCTCATCCTCAGCACCACGAACAAATAAACCAATAAAAAATAAAATAGAAAACTACGTATTCAGAGGTGGAGTCGGGACCATCCCAAACACAAAGCTACGCCGTAGGTCTCTGCTTTGCAACCAAAGCGCCCCGAGGGCTGGGCTCATCCTGTGCCCACGACAGCAGCTCTTGGCCTCCCCCCTGGTTCCCGGAGGCACCCCACTTACAACACGATGAGGGTGAGGATGAAAAAGAAGTGCACGCTGCCGATGAGGTTGTGATAGATCCACACCACCCACTGGTAGCCGGGCCGCCCGCTCAGGGTGTCGATCCAGCGGTAGACAGAGTAGATGAAGGAAGGCAGGCCTCGAAACGGGCCGCAGTCGGCCGAAGGTTTCAGTCTGGAAAAACCCGGGTGGAAAAACATCTCTGGCACCAGACTCAGAGGTGGGCATTCTAGAACCAGGATTTTTGTTTGCTTTGCTGGTTTTGATACTGGGAATTGAACCCAGAGGCGCTCAACCACTGAGCCATATCCCTAGCCCCCCCCCTTTTTTTTTAAAGAGAGAGAGAGAGAGAGAGAGAGAGAGAGAGAATTTTTAAAATATTCATTTCTTAGTTTTTTCGGCGGACACAACATCTTTGTTTGTATGTGGTGCTGAGGATCGAACCCGGGCCGCACGCATGCCAGGCGAGCGCGCTACCGCTTGAGCCACATCCCCAGCCCCCCTAGCCCCTTTTTATTAGTATTATTATTTTTTTTAATTTTGAGACAGGGTCTTGCTGAGTTGCTAAGGGCCTCACTAAGGTGCTGAGGCTGGCTTTGAACTCGCAATCCTCCTGCCTCAGCCTCTCGAGCCACTGGGGTTATAGATGTGCACCGCCGCGCCCGGCTAGCAAGTGTCCTTTTTAGGCTCTGCGACTGAAATCAGCAGGTCTTGCCTTCTCTACCCACACTCCTCCCCTTCCAGAAGAAGCCCTCTGGCTCACAGCCCCTCTGGAATGACTGGTTCTAGGACCAAAGGTACCACCTGACCCAACAGAGGTCAATTCAAAGAACAGGCAGTGACCTCTGCGGTACCTTGGATTGAAGAAATAAATGTGGACAGAGTCGCTTTCTTGGGAAATCGATTTAGGAAACCCCAAGAGGCAAGCCTGCTAGCTCTGGGGGCTGAAGCTGTCCGTCAAGGGCAGTCAGTTCTGCACCAGCAGAAACCAGAGGGCAATAAGGAGGAGAGGGAGAGACCATGGCTGTTTTAGGAGGACAGGGGACATTGCAACATTCCTTGAAGCTGCTTGAGTCCCAGGTGGCTCCAATTTCACCTGCATCCCCCAGGTCAACCCCCCACCCCTTTCCTTCATTCTTTCTACCAAGGAATATTTGACTTCTCCTAGGTACTGGGCTGGTAGGCCCGGGGATTCTATATTAAACAAGACAGACCTCGTCCTTCCCTCTTGGACTTCCATTCATTCGAGTGGGAACGTTGGACAAATCCATGAGTAAGTAATTAGACAAAGGCATTTCTGACTTTGAGTGGTGGGATGATGGAAAGAAATTCAGGCCTGAGAGAGAGGGGTGGGGAAAAGGGTGGACCGAGGAAGATGGGAAGGTCCATCAGGTACACACGGATGACGGGGAGGGTCGGATCCAGGAGACAGGCTTGGAGCTGAGAGTCGGAGAGTGGAAAGAAGGAACCCAGGCAAAGGACTGGGAGGAGCCAGGCAAAGGGAGCACCGTGCATGTGTGGGGAGGGGCCTGCTGGGTCCTGGGATGGTACAAGAGCTACGGGGTTGCTGCACCCATCAATCCAGAGCCCACACTGCAACCCACTCCTTTATCAGACTCCTGTCTCTGGACCTCTGTTCCCCTGCCCCAGTCACTCCTCGGCCAGGTACCAGACCACTTAGGACAGCCCTGGGCCCCGGAGCCAATCCTAATCCTACATGCCATGCCCTGGCTTGCCCGTTCCCTACCATGGAAACCGCAGTATAGGGCTTACCCACCCACCCCCATCCCTGCTGCTTCTCTGTGTGTCCCCCCATGACACGGAGCGTCCCCTCCTCCTGGGAACGGGGAATAACCAATGTTATTGGTTATTGCCCTGTTATTGGTTATTGCCGCTGTCTCTTGATCCCCCGGCCTCACCGTGTCTGGATGATAATAGAACCTGCCCTGGGAAGCAAACCCGAGGCCACCGTGCCCTACCTCCAGATGGTGATGGCCAGCGTGCACAGCACCCCCGTGAAGGACGGGAAGAAGAGCAGGAGGATGAAGACGGTGATCATCTGGGAGGCCCGCCAGGCTTTGCTCGGGGGCTGGAAGTTCACTATGAGGCTGATCTGCCGAGACAGGTGCCGTCCCCTCCCATGTGCACCAGAGGAGCGGCCGAGGGACCCCACCCGGGGAGGGCCCCGATCCCTTGTCGCGCCCCCCACCCCCAGATCCAGCCACCTCCCTGTCCCAGGGGACCCAGCGAAGCCCGGGGGTGGGGGTGGGGGGGGCTGTGACCCCAGGCTGACTCACGTTTTTGACGTAAAACATGGTGAAAAGGGTGACCATCTGGATGAAGGGGAGCAGAGGACAGAAGAACATTCCAATCCTGAAAAGGCAAGAGTCAGAGCCCAGGGGCGGGGCCAGGGGTCGGGACCCACGAGGGGGCGCAGAGAGGGGGGGGTCAGTCACGTCCCCATAAAATTCCACAGGTGAAGTCCCAACCTCGAGGGCCTCGCGACGGGCCTGCCTTTGGAGACAGGGTCTGTAAAGAGGGAGCCACGTTGAAATGAGGTCACCGCGCTGGGCCCGGTCACCAGCAGGGCTGGTGTCCTTCACAGAAGAGACGAAACACAAGCCTAGAGGGGGACCACCACACAGGGGGGTGGTGACCTGGCACAGGCAGGTCCTTCTCTCCTGGCCCTCGGAAGGAACCAGCCCTGCCCGCACCACCTTGATCTTGGGCTTCCGGCCTCCAGAGTCGTGAGAGAACAAATCTCCACGGCTGGAGCCACTGGGCTCTGGGACCCGCCATGTCGGCCCTTGTGGATGGGCGGAGGGGACTGCGGCGTGGCCGTGAACCAGGGCCCCCAGCTGCTCCCTTTCCAGCTCTGGGAAGGTTCTGCCAAGCGACTCCACGCCACCACCAACGCCCCCGCTGGCCCTCGGCAGCCCCAACCTGGTGTGTCCTAAATGAGGGACTCAAGGCCCGAGGTCCTGCAGGGACAAGGCTTGGGGGTACAGGTGACAAGGCTTGGGGGGTACACCTCTTTCCAGCTCTTTCCCCCAGCGCTCCTGGTGCCCAGGAAGAAAATCAGTTTGGTGCTAGAATGTCTTCAACTGCTGCCCATCGCTAACCCCCAAGTTTCCAGAACAGGACGAGGCCTTAAACCGGGAGCCTCGGCACACAGCAGGGTCTGGCTCCAAGGTAAAGACTTTCAGGGTGGGATCGTGCTTATTTTTTCCAATTAAGTTTGTGATTTCTGTCCACTAGCACTGGCGGACTCCTTTAAAAATGTATTTGAGTTTAGAAAAAAAAAAAAAAAGGCAAACAATTCCAAAAAAAAAAAAAGTACTAGGAAGATGATAAACCAGATGATGTGGCAATGTGCCCCCAAAAGAAGCCAGGTTAGACTGGCAAGGCGAGAGTGTAAAAGGGTGAAGCTTGGGAAACACGTTCCTCACCTTCAGCCATAACATGCACTCCCTTTTCTGTTATTATATCATCTTCTTTTAAAATTCATCATTAGGCTGGGTGCAACCGTGCGTGCTTATAATCCCAGTGACTCGGGAGACTGGGTCAGGAGGATCGCAAGTGGGAGGCCAGCCTCCACCACTTAGTGAGACGCTGTCCCAAAATAAAACAATAAAAGGGGCTGGGGATGTAACTCCGTGGTAGAGCACTTGCTTAGCCCGTGTGAGGCCCTGGCTTCCATGCCCGGTTGTGCAGTAAAAGAAACCAGTTATGTTAGGATAGTCCCTGTGTCATTATTTGTTCAAAAACAAAAAAAACTTAGGAGTGCCTGTGAGTACCCTCAGGATCCAGCCATTTCACATCTTGGCCTATATGCGAAAGAAGTGGGGAAAGGATCTCAAGGAGATCACTGCACACCTGTGTTCAGAGTGGCACTATTCACAATTGCCAATCGGTGGCAGCCACGTGTGGTGGACAGATGAATGGATAAATGAAAGGTGGACTTCCGCACACAAGGAGCTATTGTTCAGCTCTGGCAGGGAAACGCAACCCGGGGACAAAAAAAAAAAAAAAAAAAAAAAAAAAAAAATCAATATTATTTGACTCCACACTTTTTTTTTTTTTTTTGATGGTGTAACATAGATTCACAGAACCAGAAAGTAGATCAGGGGTTGCCAGGGACTAGGAGGCACAGGAAAGGAGTGGCGGATACTGGGTACAGAGTTGTTCCAGTTTTGCCACATGAGAAGGTTCTGAAGATGGGTCACACAACCATGTGATCATACTTGCTATGAATTTTTACAGTTTTTTTTAAAGAGTGCTCATAAAGATAACAGTGTCGCCGGGTGAGGTGGCGCACGCCTGTCATCCCGGCGGCTCGGGAGGCTGAGGCAGGAGGATGGCGAGTTCAAAGGCAGCCTCTGGCGAGGCCCTAAGCAACTCAGTGAGACCCTGTCTGTAAATAAAATTCTAAAATAGGGCTGGGGATGGGGCTCAGTGGTCGAGTGGCCCTGAGTTCAATCCCTAGTACCCAATAAATAAATAAATAACAGTGGTCATCATATCCCCACTAAGCTCTGAGCATGTGCATGTTCTCATTTAATCCTCTCTGAAACCCTGTGAGGCAGGTTCTGTTATCTCTACCTTTTACCTTGCACGAAGGAAACCCGATGGTTGAAATAAAGGTTTGTGAGCTTCCAAATCGCCAGCGGGTGCCCTAACAGGCTTCCTAAACACCAAAGTCCTGGCTAAATTAAATATAAATTAAATTCATTGACACGAACGAATGATCTGGGAGGGGGGACAATTTGGGATCCTCCCCCCCCCCCAACGAAACGCCAAGTCTTCCTCAGTCAGGGTCAAGCTGACTTACCACACCAGAGTTTGTGCATAGATCAGCTCTAGAACGTTCCTGGCAATGTCAAATTCCTGTAAGCCAAGGCTTGTGATGAACCGTTTCCCAATGATCCTGTGAAAGTGTCCTGAGGTCAGTCCCCAAACCACCACTCCCACCCACCCGCCAAAGACCCCCAGGGGCCAGGACCATCAGAGGCAGAGACCCTCCCCAGGTTAGGATGAAGTCGTTGGTTCCAAGTATCAGCATGTGTTTGAAAAAATAATCGAGGCGCAAGTGGAATTAACACAGTGCTGTCGAGTGGGGTACTACTAAAATGGTTTTTAAATAACTCTAGAGAATTTTAGTTACCTGAATTATTAACATATCCCACCTATTACCTTTTTTATATCATTTTTGGCTTATTAAACCTTGAACAAGATAAACTCAGCACTCCCCAGTTCAAATAACTCTTCTAAACTAAAAGTGGGGTTTTTTGTTTTTGTTTTGTTTTGTTTTGTTTTGTTTTTTGGTTCTGGGGTTAGAACCCAGGGTCTTACACAAGCTAAATACTCTACCCCTGAGCTACAGTCGCCACCAAACAACAAAAATTTAGTCAGTGTTTACCGCTGTTAAATGAGTGCTATTTCCCAAATCTATAAGGAGGACCCGGGCTTCAGGCACAGCGTCAGGCACAGACACAGGTACCCATGACCAGCAAGTACTCACCTCCTCAGAAACTCCCCCAGGAAGGAATCCGCTAAAGAGAACACGAAGTCCATCAGGAGGAGCCGGTAGATTTCCTGGCCGATCAGCGTCTCCCAACACTGCAAGGCACAGAGCGGTGGGGTGGGGGCGGGCACATGGCCCAGCTCAGCCCCTCTGCTCCGTTCCTGCTCCATGTGCTCCGTGGGACACAGCTGGCGGCTCAGGTGGACCGAGTCCTTGGCACCCAGAAGGGCAGCCCCACTGTCTTCGATCAGTGCAGCCAGATTCGATTCCAGGGGGGTCCCTCCCTGGCCATTAAGTCCTGCTTTCCACATAAACCCATCTCCTCCTTCTCAGGATCTCTCCTTTTAAGACCTTCCCTCTCCCCTGCCCCCTGCCCCTCCGGGTCCCATTTCTCAGTCAGGGATAATCGTTTCTTCAGGAGGTGGGAGACATCCATGGCTAAGGATGCTCCCCTTCCTTGGGCTTGGTGACCTCACACAGCATCAGTGGACACCTGCTTAAGAAAGTGACTTGTGATTGGCTGCATTGTTGCTGCAGCTCTGGAAACGGGAACCCGAGTGAGTGTGTGAAACTAGTCAACTCTGCGGGAGTCAGCGGTGTGAGCTGATAGACCGGGAGCTTTTAGGTTTGGCTGAAGTGGGAGAGGGAAGTTCTGGATTCACAGCTCAAGGATGGGCAGATGGATGAATGCATGGGCACGTAGACGGATGGATGGACGGATGGATGGACGGATGGAAGGAAGGAAGGCTGGAGGGACACATAGATGAATGGATGAATGGATTTGGGTGGATAAATGATAGATGAATGGATGGATGGATGGACATGGATGAATGAATGGGTGGATACGTGGGTAGATGGATGATGGATGGGCACATGGATGGATGGATGGATGGATGGGCACATGGATGGATGGATGGATGCATGGGTGGATGGATGGATTAATACATGGGTGAATGGATGGATGGATGGATGCATGCATGGATGAATGGATGAATGGATTTGGGTGGATAAATGATAGATGAATGTATGGATGGATGGACACATGGATGGATGGATGGATGGATACATGGGTAGATGGATGATGGATGGACACATGGATGAATGGACACATGGGTAGATAGATGGATAGATGAATGGATGGATGGATGGATGAACTGTGAGTGGATGGATCAATGGTGAATAGAAATATAATGTGCTATCCTTCTCACCAGCCTAACTTGGAGGGCTGATTTTGAACTTCTTTGATGGTTAGGTGAAAAGATGAAGGTGCCATGTTCATGTGAGATGGTTTGCATCTGGACATAGCAGTGTTTTGCGGAGCCCAGGGAAGAAGAATGACAGAGAGCTGAAGAGATTAATGTCAACTAGGATCACGATGCTCTGGAGAGACTCATGTCCTCCCTTGAGGTCAAAGACCAAGAGACCCAACTGAAGGGAGAACACGGTGGAAATCTCACCTCTTCACCGGACAGGGCCACGATGTTGAGCCAATAGTAACAAAGAATTCCAATGATGGATATTTTTAGAAAGATGTTTCTAAATAACAGAAGAGAAAACAACCATCATTCCCTCCATGGCAGACTCCCGTGCTGTTTGCCAACATTCCTTTGGGGCACCTGGTAGGATGGACATCCCTGCCTCCTGTGGATGGGTGGGGCCCTGTGGCTAGTTCCTGCGAGTACACTGTGAGCCAATCCATTATGTGTCACTTCTGGGCTGCAGCAGTGGCTGCCATTGAGATCCCCAGAAGCCACGTCTCCCCTTTGGAATGGCAATCAGCGGTATTCAAGATGGCGGCCCTCTCAGCAGGTGGCCCTCAGTGATTGACGGGAGCAGAACCAGCCTCCCTGCCACACGCAGAGCACGTGGAGCCTGGGCAAGAAGAAGCCTTCGTGTTCCAAGCTCCCGAGCTCTGGGGTTTTGTTGTTCTTGTCACTGGGGCATAAACGAATGTATTCTGATTGATACACTCTCATTTGTCACATCTCCAAACTACCCGACTTCACCTCCCATGGCAACAGTAAGTCCACCCACGGCTCACTGGGTGCTGACTGACGGTCCTGCAACGGGCACCACCCCCTCCATGTGCACAATCCCACCATCAGGTAGAATTATATTTTATGCCCATCTCGCCTCAGATGCAAGATTATGAGGTGGCGGTGAACCCTCTATGTCCCCCTCTATACCCACTTAATGGGGCATCAGGGGAAATCTCTGAGTCGGTGACATTTGAGCAAGTCCAAACAGAGTCAGGAAGCGGGCCACGCGGCTATGTGTGGGAAGAGTGTTCTGGACAGAGAGGACATCCCGTGCAAAGGCCCAGGGGTGGGCACAGAGTTTGGTGTGTTTGTGAATACCCAGGAGGCCGAGGGTGGGGGAGGAGATGGTGATCAAGAAGGAGAGAGGTAGGAAATGAGGCTGAAGAGCTGGTCAGGAGCCAGACCTCAGAGGCCACAGTAAGGAACGTGCTCTGGAAGTGATCCATAAAGAAACTTGAACTGCTTTGTGCAGACTTATTGCCATAACCAGGAGCGATTCAGGGAACCAGCCAGGAAGAAGGTGTCAGGGCAGGATTTGGACAGTACAAGCCTTTGTTTATCAAAATGCTGGGGCCACCTCTAGCACCTAGGGTGCCTGAGTTGGAATCACCAAAATGTGTCACCCCTCCCACCTCTGGGTGGCTGAATTATAAAAAATGTGCATCCTCATCCCTGCTGATGCAATAAGTACCAGGACTCACAGTCTGACCCTGGATGATTTCAGTCCCCACACAATTCCTCAGTCTGAAACCTTTGTGCAGTGCACTGCCTGCCCATCTGTACAGGTCATACTTGAGATGTATGTTAATTCTCAGGCTTATAACCTTTGGAAAAGGTAAGCCACTACTTTGAGCTATATTTTTCCGGTTTTTGTTTGTTTGTTTAACCCACACCACATAAACACACTTCATTCTTGAAATCCCTCCCTTCTGGAGGACTGAACTACAATATTTGGGCTGAACCCCTCCAGCTCCCTGGAAATGAGACGGGTGTTGGGTGCGACGGACACACCTACCGGATCAGGAGGATGTAGACCTCGTGCCGGGGCAGCTCGTAGCTCTCCACCAGCCTGAGCATGGAATATAAGCGAGGCACAGCTAGGTTGATGCAGGACACAAGGAAGGGTAGTAACAGCACGGCTCCGGGGTTCTGGTGTGTCTTCAGGAACTGTAAGGAGACAGCCAAGATGCCCACTGTGCGCTGGACCCTCTCTGCCTCACCTGGAAGACCAGCACGGGGGGAAAACCCCAAAAGGGGCTCCTCTGGGCTCAGCTATGAAGCTACCATTATTTAGTACTTACCCTGTGCCAAGCAATACTGAGGCTCAGAGAGGTAAAGACACTTGCCCAGGGTCAACCCGCAAGAAAAGGGAAGACCTGAACCCAGACATTTCTGCCCCAGGGACTAAGCTCCAAGAGCCACCATGGGATTCTGCCTTCTCGTCAAGGCGCCCAGGACCTGGAGGATGTGCCTCTCGCAGTTGGGGCAAAAGCCTGAGTGTGCAGGTACCACGGCAAGAGGGGACCACTCGCGGTCTCTTTTCCTCTCCGCGGGGATCTCGTGCATCTCGCTAGGAATCACCTGCTCCTGAGAACGGGCCTAGGAGGAGCGGGTGCCTGCGCAGGCCCACGCTGCCCCCGTGTGTGAGCGGGAGACAGGACCGTCCTCAAGGGGACCCAGCACCCTGGCACCCGCTCAGGGCGCAGCCCGGGCCGCCCTTGGCCAGCTGTCCTCCCTGTCGGTCTTGGGATAAGAGAGTCCTGTGGATCCACGGGACGCCTCGCGTCCCCTTCCGAGCATCCCCAGGTCTGAGCCTGCGTCCTCTGGGGACGGTCCGCAGGCGCCCCGTGCGTGTCTGGAGAGTGTCTGGAGCCCCGGGCTCCGGGGTCCCAGCGCTGCCCGCCTCCCCCACTAACAGCTGCCCCGGTGGAGCCGACGCTGGGCTCCCCTGAGCCTCTGCTCCCTGTTTGTACAGCCGCGAGGTTTCACCTGACCCCAGAGACGTTGCAAGGATTCGATGAGATCCAATAGGGCCAAGCCCGAGCCCTGGGACAGAGCTGGGGACACTCCCAGGAACCGGAGTGACCAATGATTGGGTGCCATCACTTCGGAGGCCGAAGCCCTGGGACTCCCTCACTCCTGCCTTCTCTCCCCCAAGCTGCTCCCCTGTGTTCAGGACGACAGTCAGAAGTCTTCCCGCCGACACCTGCCTGGTCACTGCTTGCGCCCTGGGTGGGCGTTGCCAGGGGCCCCAGGACCGGGACCCCACCTCCCCTCCTCACAGCAGACCTTAACAGGGCACGGACACAGCCCCACATTTTTTATTCTGGCCTCTTTTGCCGTTTCCTCCATTTAGTTGAGAACCTACTATGTCCTAGGTCTTGGGCCAGGTGCTGGGAGAAACAGACACACCAGCAGCGGGCCTCAAAGCTGCCCGTCTCAGGCTCAGAGGGGAAGGCCGCAGAGTCAGGGTGCCCTCCTCAGCCGAGTGGTGGCGAGGGCAGGCTTCCCGGAGGAGGTGACATTCACGCTAAGGTCAGGGGTGGGGGGAGTTTGCCAGGTGACAGGAAGCATAATACACTCAAGGATCCGTGAACGCACTGTTACGCATGGTTGGCGCTAGATATGGGGGTGGTGGGGCACAGGCAAAAGTCAGGTCATAAAAGATCTACGGATCCTGCCCCGAGAATCGGTTTGTATTTTCTTCCCTTTACCTCTCCCTCCCTCCCTCCCTCCCTTCCTTATTTCCTTCTTTCCTTTTTTTTTTTTTTTTTTTTTTGAAATGCTGCAGATCCAACCCTGGGTCCCATGCCCGCTTTGCAAGTCTCCCTGAGCCGTCCCCGGCCCTAGACTTCATATCGAGAACCATGGGAAGCCGCTAAAGAAAGTCACGTCACCGGGGCAAACTGTGCCCACAGGTGGAGATCTGCACCGGTACCCAGAGAACAAAGCTGGACCCTACAGAAAACCTGTCCTACCCCACGGTCACCCAGGAGACAGGACAAGGGTCAGAGCCTAAATCATAGCACCCCTTTATCACGGAGGGTGCCGGGGCCGGGGTAACCCCTGCACACCTTTCCTCTCACCCTGGCCGTGCCCTGAGCCTCCCCTCTGCGCCAGGCACCGTGGGAGGCACGGGGAGGGGATGACGAAGGAAGAAATGAGCACTGGGTCCCGGGTGCACGGCCAGAGCCCCCAGCTCTGCGGCAGCCCGGACCCTTGGCTCTCTGCGAGGTGCCGAGCCCAGCCCAGGAGCCAGGGAGCCGGGGGACTGTGCGATCGATCGTACCCTGGTTTCCTGACGCTGGCCTCAGGTCCCCCCCAGCCTCCCACCCCTTCCTCTGCCCGGGCCCCTGGCCCTCCCGCCCGTCGGGTTACCTCGGAGTTGTACTCGGCCAGGTAATAGACGGCGACACAGCAGGCGATGGCCATGCCGGTGGACACCAGCCAGGCCGCCACGTGGGCAGACAGGCGCGTGAGCTGCTGGTGGAAGGTGACCTTGGTGTTCTCCAGTCGGATCTCTGACAGGTTCTCCTGGGGACACAGGAAGCCAGCTGAGCCCCAGGTCCCTCCCGCTGTCACCTGGTGTGTGTGTGGGGGGGGGGGGGGGACGATGGGGACACGCTGGCCCCCCCCACCCAGATCCAAAGGGATGGACCTGGATTGTGGGAGGCCCCAGGAGAAGCTCAGAACAGCCACGAACCCCCACCCCCACATCCAACTCCGTTTCCATCGTAGAGGAAGGAACCCGTGGGAGGAACAGACAGTGACTTTGACCTTGAGGGAAACCCATGAAGGACAGAGAGGTGTTCCTCGAATGAGGCGGGGTGCGCACACGGAGCAAGAAGCCGACACCCGCGACCCTCTTGTCAAAGCCCCCGCTGGTGAATTTTCTGCTTGTTAATTCTTTTTTGTATGTTTTTATTTTGGGGGTGATGGGGGGTACTGGGGATTGAACTCAGGGGCACTCCACCACTGAGCCCCGTCCCCAGCCCTATTCTGTATTTTATTTAGAGACAGGGTCTCACTGAGTTGCTTAGGGCCTGGCTTTTGCTGAGGCTGGCTCTGAACTTGTGATCCTCCGGCCTCAGCCTCCCGAGCTGCTGGGATGGCAGGTGTGTGCCACCACACCTAGCTTTGCTATTTCTTTTTAAAAACTTTATTTCTTTACACCAGGGTTGCTCCATCTCCACACTATTAATATTTGGGGCCAGATAATTCTGTGTGGGGAAGGGGACATCCTCTGCACTACAGAGAGCTTAATAGCTTCCCTGGCCTCTACCCCCTGGATGCCAGCAGTAGCCTGTCCCCAATTGTATTCCACCAAAAAAGTCTCCAGACATTGCCAAACGTCCCTCTGAGGGGAAAAGATGTTCTAGATTGAAAACCACTGCTCGGGGGTAAAGTTTTTAAACCTGAAGCTGTAGGGTCAGGAGTCCCTGCCTTTGAACACTTTAACATAAAGTGCTACATGGCCTCCAGGAGGGCTGTACCAGGTAGAAGGCCCTCAAGTCATGCAGAAATGTCCATCTCCCCACATCACCACCAGAACCAGGCATTATGGCTATTTTGTGTTTCTATTCTTTTTTTTTTTTTTTAACAAATCTCATGAGCAATAAAAAAGTCATTGATTATTGCTTGATCAAAAGTAGACATTGTGGAGCTGGGGGCAGGGGGAGGAGAATGCCTGTGGAAAGGCGCCTCACCCTTATCTCGGTGCTCAGACTCTTCTGTTTCAGCTTCACGGCTTTTTCGTGCGTGACAGTAAAGTCCCAGCAGAAGATAAGTTTGGCGATCCCTCTGGAGTAAATGTGGGGGTTGATGAAGTTGTTCCGGAAATACTTGGCCATGCTGGAGAAGGCAGAAACCAAAGCACCCACAGGTCATTCCAGCAGGCATGGGGGGGGGGTGCAGGGCTGGGACCAAGGACACCCCACCATCATCAATTAGTGAAAGGTGACATTGGAAGAGTGGCCTGGAACGCTGGGACAACAGACACACAGGTTGACAGGCCTGCCCCACCATCTGAACTCGCCCACTGGGGAATCTTTGTCCTCTGAACTGTTCCAAGTGTCAGTCTTCACACCTCGTAATGGGGATAATGACAGGGCCCACCTCCGAGATCTGGTGAGAGGTATGAGTTTCCTGCAGCTGCTGTAACAAATCACTGCTAATGAGACAGCTTAAGATGACGAAGGTTTATTACCTTGACGTTTCTGGAGGTCCGAAGTCAGAAAATGGGTCTTACAAAGCAAGAATTTGGCAGGGCCTTGGTCCTAGGAGGAGGATCTGGGGGAGAACCTGTTTCTTTGCCTTTTTCAGGTTTGGGGGGCTATCTGCATTCTTTGGCTGTAGGTCCCTCCTCAAAGCAAGAGGAGTAGCATCTCTCTCTTTCCCTCTCTGACCTCTGGTCTCCCTCTTAAAAGGACCCTGTGGGGCCTGGGGATACAGCTCAGTTGGTAGAGGGCTTGCCTCATATGCACAAGGCCCAGGGTTCAATCCCCAGCACAACAGAAAAACCTGTGGGTCCCCGGGCCCAGCTGGATAACCCAGGAAAATCTGCCCATCTCAAGAGCTTTGACCTAAACACATTCCCTTTGGGTTGGGGATGAGCAGCCGACCACAAGTGGCTAGAGGGCTTGGAACAGCAGGCACTAGAGGGCGCCATTGAGACGGTGGGGGATGTCCCAGGACCAGGGACCTCTCAGCACCGGGCCTGACTTTCCCAAATCGGCACCCCTTAGTAACAACTACTGCAGAAACATTTTCTACTTTAATAGAACAGAATGAAATGGCGCTTTAGTCAGAATTACCATGCTGGTATTAAGGTCATTAGGAGCTGAATTGCTTCCCATCCCCAGCACTGCCAAGAAAATTAAAGTGAAATAAAAATGAAGATGGGGATGCAGAAACACAGAGGGAAGACCACTGAACACTCAGGGAGAAGACAGCTGTATTAGTCAGTTTTCCATCACTATAACACACGCCTGAAATAAAAAACAAAAAAAACTTACAAAGAAAAAAGGTTTGTTTTAGCTCGCACTTTTGGGAGCTTCGGTCCATGATCAGTTGGCCCTGCTGTTTTGCACATCATGGTTGTGCAGGAGGACAGAGCCGAGCAGAACTTCCCACTTCGTGATCAGGAAGCCAAAAAGAGACAGAGATGCGAGGGTCCCAGGATCCCCTTTGAGGACCCACCTGAAGCCCTCCATCGGGCCCCACCTCTTAAGGTCTCCACCACCTGCCAATCACACCAGGTGGGATCAAGCCTTTAATACCCAGGTCTGTGGAGGACACGGAAGCTCCAAATACATCAAGCCAAGAAAATAACCTTAGAAGAAACCCGTCTCGCCGACCGGCCCTTGATCTTGGACTTCTACCTTCCAGAAACTGTAAGAAAATGAATTGCTGGATTCAGGGGTCTAAACGTGGACGTGCACCTGACAAACTTCCGGATCCTGGGGTAAACATGGACGTGCACCCGAGGAACTTCCGGATCCGGGGGCCTAAACATGGACGCCTGAGGCACTTCCGGATCTCAGGGCCCAAAGATGGACGCCTAAGGAACTTCCGGATCCTAGAGTCTCAACATGGACGTGCACCTAAGGAACTTCCGGATCCGGGGGCCTAAACATGGAGGACTGAGGAACTTCCGGATCCTAGAGCCTAAACATGGACGTGCACCCGAGGAACTTCCGGATCAGGGGGCCTAAACATGGACGTGTCCCTGGAACTTCTGGGTCCTTGTGCCTATAGAGGACAGGGCGTGACTCTCAGAAGGGACGTGGCCCATGAAGGGGAGCTGAATATGGGGCCTGTTGGGGGCAGACTGAGCTGTCGCACCCTGAACTTGAATGTGACGGTGGCCTCACCTCCCGGCCTTCCCCCCGGGTGTCACTTCCTCCCCTTCCAGGCGGTGCCGGGAGGAAGTGAGACCAGACACAGGGGCCAGGCCACCGTCCTTCTCCTCGCTTGCCAGGCGCCCAGCCTGGCTGGGCATGGGGACGTCTCGTGACATTGGCTGCCTCCTGCATCCCTGCCCCTGGACCTCAGGGACCACAGGCAGGAACAGTCGTTGACATGATTCCCCCCTGGCCGCTGACCCTCAGCCCTGGGGTCTGCCCAGGGAGAGCTCTGTCTCCCAGAGGGTCAGGGGGCCCCTGTGACCTGCTGCTCCTTACCCACCGTCATCCTGGGCGAGCACAGGTCAGGACACCAGACGCTACTGAGAGTGACATCTCCTGGATGGGCGGCTGGGGACTTTCCTCTGTCCCCAGGCCTCGGACACCGATGATCCCCCCCAGAGACAGACAATAACCCCACACCGCCCAAGACTTATTTTTAGGCTTTGGATTCTGAAATTTTGCTGCTGCCACCTTCTTTGTGAAGCCAGTTTTTCAACAGAGACAATATTCCAGGGGAGAAAAAATACAACATGGAGTCCATCAAACCCAGCTGACCCATCTGGTCCTCCCAGAGAAGTCTGGACTGGGGGGAGAAGAGCCATCCTCAACTGGCGAAATAGTGAAGTTCCCTTGTCCTTATTCTGTGTCAGTAAAACAAATAATCCGATGTTAACTCATCAAGTTATTTTTGACGAGTGCTTGGCTCATAGGAAAACTGACTCTGTTTTAGGGAATGAAGTGTTACCTGATTTTAAAATGTAAAACGAAGCCAATCAGGATTGTTAAATTACACTGTCATAATTCTGTTCTTTGACAGCAGAAATAAATAAATCTTTTTTTTTAGAAAAAAGAAAGAAAACAAACTCCTGCTGCTTCTCAAGCCTCCCAGTCTGTGGTGCCCTGCTCCGGCCACCAGCCGGTGCCCACGGCTGGGACCCTTTTCCTGTGTGGTCTTCCCACGCGTACCTCGTCCCTGACCACTGTCCACCCGTGTCCTCAGGTCCGAGTCATCTGGGTCACCCCATCTTTGTTTTCCTTAAAGGCCCACAACTAACTCTGTCCAGCTCCTATTTGACATCCCAGCACCAAGAGATCCAACATCGTGGAGAAACTGGCTCCGGGCTAATGTTTTGGAGCGTCTTGGATTTTGCCTGAATCTCCAGGCAGCCTCTTCAGGAAAGGCGGACGTCTCCGTACCTGAAGAGCAAGCTGAAGAAGCAGGTGACCAAGCAGGCCCCGATGGTGAAGAGGTATGCCAGCTGCATGTTGTAGGCCAGCCTGCTGCCCCCGTGCCGGATGGTGGAATTGGTGTAGAAGCCGTAGTACATCACCGTGTCCCTGAAGTAACCCTGACGGGGACAAGGAAGAGATCCAGGTCAGGTGCGTCTTGAGACAGAGGTCAACGACGACGGTCCTCAGACTTGACCTCTTCATCTGCAGTTAATTTGGGCCAATCAATTTAGACATTGGTATCAAAGGGGAATCCTTCCCAGGACTCTTCCTCTCTCTCTCTCTCTCTCTCTCTCTCTCTGGTACTAGGAATGGAATCCAGAGGTGCTTAACCACTGAGCCACATCCCTACCCCTTTAAAAAAACATTTAATTTAGAGACAGGTCTCACGGAGTTGCTTAGGGCCTAAGTCACTGAGGCTGGCTTTGAACTCAAGATCCTCCTGCCTCAGCCTCCTGAGCTGCTGGGATGACAGGCGTGCGCCCCCGGCTTCCAGAACCCTTAAGGACACCCAAATCTGCAGCTGCTCAAGTCTCGTATATTAAATGGCATCGTATTTGCACATAAACTGCCCCTATCTTCCCGTCTGCTTTAAATGATCTCGCCCATCATACTGGATACAGTGTCTAGGCTATGTAAATAGTTGTTACAGTATATGGTTTAGGGAGTAAAGAGGAGAAAACAGTGTATACAGTGTTCAAAACAGATGCAATTTTTTTTTAAATGCTTTCAACCTGCAGTTGATTAAATCTGAGGATTTGGAACCCAGGGATTTGGAAGATCGACTGGTTTGCCAGAAAAAAGGTCTCCCGCGTCCACGGAGAACCTAGAGAGAGGTTTTCTCACTAGGCTCCCGGAGTGAAGAAGAGTCTCCAAACCAACAGAGCCTCACGCTGAAGGTGTTGGTTTCACAGACAGACGGGCAGCAGGACAGACGGGCCTTGTGGACCTCTGCCAGCTGCGGAATACGAGGGCCACACGTATTTAACAGAAAACGATTTAAGCCTTTAGGTCTACGCTGCAGTATACAGGAAACGAGAAACCGGTTGGAAAGAACACAAGGAAATAATCAAATAATCTTGGAAGGTAGGATTTCGGAGCCTACAGAACAACAGGCACAGTTTCTATAATAAAGACAATGTCCAGAAAAGACTCCCTGGGGTTGGGAGATTGTTCTAGATTCATACAGATTTAAGCAGGGGTGTGTGTGTGGGGATATATACAGTGTGGTCTTTGGATCCTGGTCGGAGCACGCTATGAAATTTCCCCCAATTTGGGGGAAAACTGAAAAAATGTGAATATGGTTTGATTTTTAGATAATGTTCATCTTTAATTCTGTTGAACGTGATGATGGGATATGACAGCCCTGTGCCCTTATTTTTCAGAGATGCATGTTGAGGAATTTCAGAGTGAAATATCCTGGTGTCTGTAATTTACTATGATGCTTCCCCAAACAATAAGAGAAAGCAAATATGACAATTCTAAATCTAGCACGTAAAGGAGTATTTACCATACCAGTCTTTACTCTTTTGTAGACTTTGAAATGTCTCCTAATAATGAATTCTTCTTATACACAAAATATACATGGTGACGAAAACATGAAGGATCAATTAACACAATGATTCTATTTTAGCATTAAAGGAAAATGCTTTTTAGGGTTTTTGTTTGTTTGATTTTGGTACCTGAGATTGAACCCAGGGGTGCTCAACCACTGAGCCCCATCTCCAGCCTTTTTTATTTTGAAATAGAGTCTGTCTAAGTTATGTAGGGCATCGCGGTTGCTGAGGCTGGCCTTGAACTTGCAATCCTCCTGCCTCAGCCTCCCAAATTGCTGGGACTACAGGTGTGTGCCTGGGCTTGCCGGGCATGAACTCGGGGTCCAGGAAACGCAGGACTTACCGCCCCCGTAAAAAACTCCAGCCCCGTGAACTGGAGCGTGTTCTTCTGGGCCACCGTCAGCTGCGGAATGACCAGGAAGCTGAAGTTCACGATGAAGGAGAAAATGTTGAACTTCAAAAGCCACCTCAGAAAGCTGAAATAGGAGAGGACGCTGGTTCCAAACTTGCCTCCGATGACCTTGAGCGTCTTCTGCCACAGGCTGGTGGTGTTGAGGAGCTCGGAGACGCTGTTCCTGGATCTCCGGTAGACCTGGAGTTAAGGGTGCCGGGCAGGGGGCTTGGGGTCCACTCAGGTATCTCCCGAGCAGGGCCCCTCACCGCACAACCAGCCACAACCAGCCACCGACCCGAGAGCCTTCCACAGGGCCCCACACCATGCTCTGCATGTTGACAAAGTTCATCTCCTTTAAGCCTCACTCATCTCTGAGGTTCTGCTATTGTGACCTTCCCAGGTTTGCTGAGCCTGGCCTTGAACTTGCGATCCTCCTGCCTCAGCCTCCCAAATTGCTGGGACTACAGGTTGAAGAAGATGATGCCCCCAGTGGCCAAGTGGGCCAATGACCTCAGTGTCCTCCTAGACCTTCCCTATGTCCACCTTTGCTCCCAGTGGCTCTGGGCAATGACGTCTCTCTGACTCTATCCTTCTCTCCTCACTCTTGCCCCTCCCTGTTTTCACCCTCTTGCTGCGCTGGTTTTACTGTTGCAATATAAATAGTGTACTGATTACACCCACGTTTACTGCGGCATTGTTTACAGTAGCTATGACACGGAACCAACCCAGCAGTCCATTGACAGGTGAATGAATAAATACAATGTGTATCTGCCCAGTGGAATACTATTCAGCCATAAAGACTAGAGTCCTGTCATATGCAGCAAACAAACAAACAAACAAAAAATTGGGGGTGGAACTGGAGGACATTACGACATGTGAAATAAACCAGACACAGAAAGAAAGGTGGAGACCAACATAAATTGTGGGGTACCATCCATAAAGCTACTTGAGTGGTCTTTTACTCTTACCAAGCCCATGGGGGACTTAGGTCTCCCCCGGGGGACAATCCCTGCATTCCTGTGTGCAGACTCCCCAGGGCGTGAGATCTCTGCCCACCCCCACTAGTGGGTCAGCTCTCGTGCTCTGGAGTTGGGCGTGACCCAGGGGAACTGGACAGCCCACCCACCCCCTACCTTATTTGGCAAAGAACATTCCATGGAAAACCTTTGATGTCCCCCATATAAACAAAGCAGGCGCGGGCTCCACTGCTCCCTGTGTCCATGTGGAAGCTCCATCCTTAAGGTCCAAGAGCCGGCCTGCCCTCACTGGGAAAAATTACTTCCCGTGGACTGTGGGGTTTTCTCTTGATCAGCTCTTACTCCGCGGCCGGCCTGCCTGGCGCAGGGGAACCCCAGTTCCACCGCGTGCGCGGGTTGGGGGCGAGAATGACTCTTTCTGAACGTAGAGGAGTGATTGCTAGGGGCTGGGAGGCTTCGGGGGAGGAAGAACAAGGAAAGTCAGATAACAGGGAGACAGAGTGAGCTGTGGGGTCCCCTGCCCAGGGGGTGACGGCAGCTGACAGTGGCCTATTGGGTGGGTCATGCTGGTCAGGGAGACAGGAGCTCAAAGGCACCCAGGAGAAAGGAATGATGAGGAGGGACGAGGGGCAGAGCTCAGTGACAGGGTGTGGGCTGAGTGGGCAGCTGGCCCTGGAGGAGGAGG